CATTTTTCTTTTTTTTCTATCTTCCTCACCTTCATTGTTTCTTCGTGTTGAGATTTCTTGCTTCACTCTCAAGCTAAACACTTTATTGAAAAGCATCCAAGCCATTAAGTACTTGTCGATAATCAATTTTATCATAAATCTGATTATGGATGGATAAGAAAATGTAATAATGAGGAAGAGGAAGTTCGAAGTGGATCTTAAATGTGTATTTAAAATTATGAAAATATTTATATTTTTCGATTTCCTAGGGGACGATTTTCAATAAGACACAAATTTATTTGGATCCGTATGGCGTATAATTAATAGTAATTTTAGTATTTACAATATACAGCATACTTATAGGCGTAAAATGAAGTTAATTGGCTTCTCAGTGAATTGGAGTTTATATTCTTTTAATTAAAAAAATATATTTTTATATATAATTTTTAATAAGTAAATTTATTAAAAAATAATTTTTAGTTTGCATAAGGAGTCGTATAAGTGTTGTCACAACTAATACGCCACATATGCCCATTCATTTGAATTTCTTGGGTTGTATGAGTATTGTCATCACTTATACGCTCCGAATAAAATAAATTGAAAAACACTTTAAAAGTATGGAAGTATATTTTTAATTTTATATTTAAAATATAAAATTCTCAACATTTTCAAAATGCCATTCCGCACCACATTGCATTCCGGAAAAAATTGTTTTTATTGTTTTGCATTGCCTTGCTCGCTAAGTGTTTTGTTTTACATCAATTAATATTTTTTATTGAAAAAAAAGAAACATAATAAATCGTGATTCTCTAGTTAAGAGTCAATTGAAGGCGAGACATATGGATGCCAAGGTTACAATGTTACTATTTGTAATCTAGAAAAAAATATGAAAAATATATCTTGCAATTGAGAAGAATATCATGTAGAGGAAATCTATCATTTGTTGTCAATAAAAAAAAAAAACAATTGAATGTTGACACCAATAAATCAAATCGATTAGAAATGAAATGGGAACAATTTGGTTTTAGGAAAAAAATGAAAACAAAATTTGAACAGAAAATTTGCATTGGAAAAAAAATTCCATAACAAATTTCAGACTTCGGAGAGGACTCAGAATAAAATAAAATAAGAATTTGGCCTCGGTCTCGGAAAATGTTTCCTCCATGGAAGCCTCAGAAAAATGTTTGTAGAAATTTTTGACTCCATGTAGGCCTCAGAAAATTGTCTATAGACAATTTATCCTCAGAAAATATTCTATAGCCTCCTCGGAAGCCTCAGAAAATTTTCTATAGAAAATTTGGCCTCTTGAAAGGACTCAGAAAATTTTCTATTCAAAATTTGGCCTCTTGGGAGGACTCAGAAAATTTTCCATAGAAAATCTGGCCTCTGGGGAGGACTCAGAAAATTTTCTATAGAAAATTTGGCCTCTTGGGATGCCTCGGAAAATTTTCTATAGAAAATTTGGCTTTTTTGAGGCCTCACAAAATTTTCTTCTTGAGCACTCTCAAAAAAATAATAGCATGAGAAATTTTTCTGTAAAAATGTTTTCTTGGTGGTATAATTTTTTCCCCCGTTATTTTGAAATGTTCTGTATCCAAGTGGCGTATAATTTATATTAATGTGTTGCATGTAGCGTATGATGAATATCAGTAGTTATACGTTTCCATGTTTCTTTTAATATAATTTAAATAGCCTTCAAGAGAGGCTTCAGAAAATTAGACATCAAGGTTTCAGGAAATATTCAATACAAAATTTATCATCAAAAAACGACTACAGATTTTTTTCTGTAGATAAATTTGGCTTCAAGAATGACTTCAGAAAATGTTATAAGACAAGAAAAAAGACTATAGGAAGGCTTTAGAAAAATTTCGATAAAATATTTTTCTTCCTGAAAAAAACAGTGATTTTTTTCTTTTTTTGTCATTTTGAAAATTTTCTGTCCCAGGAAATGTGTCACATAATTAATATAATTGATCTCCATGTGGCGTATGATGAATATCAGTAGTTATACGCTGCTATATTTTTTTAATGTAATTTTAAAAGGTCTTCAAGAGAGGCTACAGAAAATTAGACATCAATAAAAGGCATCAGAAAACCTGCTATACAAAATTATCATTTCAAAAAAGGGCTCCAGAAGATTTTCTGTAAAAAAAAATGTTTGCCTCCAGGAAGATTTCAGAAAAATGTATGGGGAATAAAGTAGCTATTAGGAGGGCTTCAAAAAATTCCTATAAAATATTTGTCTTCATGGGCAACTTTAAGAATTGTTCTCCTCTCCTTATTTTGAAATATTCAGTGTGGCGTATAATTAATAGTAATTTGAAACCGTTAGCGTATGATGCATATCAATAGTTATACGTCACCCTGTTTTTGCTTTAAAAATTTCGCAATAATAGCTAATGAAATCAACATCGTTTAGTTTACCCGAAAAAAAATTCAACAGTTTGTTGAATACTTTTTTATTATTATTATTTCTCTATAATACGACAACATGTCAACAATAATAACAATGGCATTGATTTTCTAACAAATAAATTTCTATTCTTACCCTGAAAAGGTAACATATGTAGGAAAATTCATGCCGACAAGGACATGCCATAAAAATTATCATAAAAGAAAAAAATAGAAAATAAAAACTCCAAAAACAGCAAACCGCAAATGTCTTGAACCCTTATGTCAAACCCCTAATTTTTCTCCTACCTCCAAAAGAAAAATATCAAGTAGCTACTTCGGCTAATATCAACAAGAAAATTTGTCATTTGGTTCAATGGCTTGCTTGCTTGCTAGCATTCCGTTCCACCATTGACATTAAAACAAACGCTTCCAATAATTCAAATTAAACCGTTAGCATTTATAGGCATATAAATAAATTTATTTAATTCATCATTACCAAGCCATGGCGGATGGCGGCTATATGCTCATGTCAACGATGAACCGACCGAAAAAAATCGAAACTCCAGAACACGCTAAAAATTCTTTTCGCTTTTGTGGTTGTTATTTTTGTAATAAGTTTTGTTTGTGTAACCATGACTATAAATACCAAATATCATGCAATCCATGCAAGGAACCAACGACGACATTTACATGGGACAACAACAACAATGACAACGACAACTTTTGAACATTATCACCAGCCAACTATCTATTTATTTGTAAGCCGAACACACAACTTCGAAATGATTGTTTGCTTGTCTTTGCAAATATTTGTAACGCATAACATTGTACCGTGAAGTTCGGTGTGTGTGTGTGTTTGTGTGAGTGGAGTTACAAGATATTAACACAACCATAAACCTCACTGGCGGAATGTCAACATGAACACAAAAAAAACATACTCTAACAAACCTGTGGAAATTGTTGCAACAACATTCTAAGCAATTCCGTTTCCTGTGCATGAGACAGAGACACACACACAAACATGTGTAGTCTGGGTCGCTTAGCTCTGAGGAGTTTGTAATTTGTGGCAAATTTTTCTCATCGCATTACTCATTAAAATCAATAATCATATTATTAGACTATGGGTCGTATAAGTGTTGTCAGCACTCATACGCAGGGGATTACTTAGAAATTATTTAACGGATATTATTGTCTACTTTTTGGCGTTTGAGAAATTTTGTAAACCACCAGATCTCAGATTATTTTTAAGAAAAAATTTTGCAAACATTTTTATGCATAATAATAGTATTTAATACCTGAAAAGTAATTAAAAAATTGGAATCCTAGCATTTATACTTTAGAAAATACAAAACTTTTAAATGTTGGCCTTTGGTGCGTATAACTAATATTAATTATGGCATAATTTGAAAAACTGCTCATAACTTTATTATATAGCGAGATATTTTCGTGAAATAAAAACCTAAAGTTACTTAAGACTATAAGCTTCAAATATATGGAAAAATATTTGAAAGAATAAATTCAGAAGAACTAAAAATGTTAAGTTATTCTTAATGATTTTTTTTTAATTGATTTTAGGACTTAAACAAAATCAAAAAATATATATTTCCACGTATAATAATCGTACTAAATAACTTTAAATCGCTTACCAAAAATCAACATCCTAGCATTTATAATTTAGAAAATATCGAATTTTTAAATCATGGCCTTTGGTGCGTATAACTAATATTAATTATGGGATAATTTGGGAAAATGCTCATAACTTTTTTATTTGTGGAAATATTTTCACGAAACAAAAACCGAAAAATTCTTAAGACTTCAGGCTATAAACCTAAAAATATTTGAAGGAATAACTGCAAAAGAACTAAAAAATGTTAAGTTATTCTCAAGGAGTCTTTTTTTAATATTGATTTTAGGACTTCAACATAATCAACAAATATATATATTTCTATGCATAATAATCGTAACAAATACCTTTAGATCGCTTGCAAAAAATCAGCATCTTAGCATTTATAGTTTAGAAAATATTGAATTTTTAAATCTTGGCCTTTGGTGCGTATAATTAATATTAATTATGGCATAATTTGGAAAAGGGCTCATAACTTTTTTATTTATGGAGATATTTTCGTGAAACAAAAATCGAAACGTTCTTAAGACTTTAGACTAGAAATACACCTAAAAATATTTGAAGGTATAATTACAAAAGAACTACAAAAAAAATTATATATGCTTAAGGATTGATTTTAGGACTTCAGCAAAATCAAAAAATATGTATTTTTCGATGCATAATAATCATAATAAATGCCTATAAATCGTTTACAAAAAAATCAGCACCCTAACATTTATAATGTAGAAAATACAGAACTTTTAAATGTTGGCCTTTGGAGCGTATGACTAATATTAATTATGGCATAATTTGGGAAAATGCTCATAACTTTTTTATTAATGGAGATAATTTCGTGAAACAAAAACCGAAAAATACTAAAGACTTTAAGCTAGAAATAGGCATAAAACTTTCATAGAACAAATCTGAAAGTTTTCGAAAAATTTCAATTTTATAAGGTCTAGTTTTATTTAAAGAAAATTTTCAATTTTCCGATTTCAATTTTTAATAATTTTTTTCTTCTTCTATTTTTCTAGAATGCAAATCCAATGAATATAAATGTCGTGCCGGCAACTGTATTGACATTGCCAGACGTTGTGATACCATCAGAGACTGTCCCGATGGTGATGATGAGGATGATAGATGCCGTAAGTAGATTTTACAAATTTTTTTATTCTACAAACCTAAGCAACACCTCTAGTCACTACTATAAATATCTATATGTATTTTATTATCACAGTATAACACATTTGTTGTCTATATATATCAAGTATTTAAAATATATATATATATATATTGAAGCTATTTATAGGCCAAGCTAAGACTTATAAAACCAGAAAAATATCCTCAGCAAAACATATTGTATTAACTAAGTCTTATGAGTGTCCAAAACTAAAACAAAAAATTGTAACAACAAACAAAAATTAATATTATCCTTCTCTAATCTAATTTTTTTTTGTCCCCAACACTAACCTAAAAATTTTGTAAAAAAAAACCTGAACTGCATGTCTAAAAAAATCTATTAACCTCAACTAACCAACAATGTGACTGCTGGACTAACCTGCTAACCCCCTCTCAAAAATTATCTAACTACTCGCCAGCCGTTGTATGCCTGAGTGATCAACATCTCTGTCGAGATGGTATCACCTGCATCAGTGAAGGCAATCTGTGTGATGGCACCGAAGATTGTGTGGACGGTGATGATGAAGAACACTGTGATAGCAGTAAGTATTATTGTCTTGTGTGTAAAAAAATAACAAACTTCAGTGTAAAATATTTCATCTTCATTAAACGATTGTAAAAATTCTCTCTTCTTTCGCTCTATTTTTCCCATTGCTGCTCTCTTTTGGAAATATTTCTTGCTCCTAAAAATAAAAAAATTGAATAGTTGTTCCCAAATTAAAATATTTTTGCCCCAAGGGCAAATTTACCTGCCGCGACTTCAGTTGCATTTCCATTGTCCATCGCTGTGATGGTCAGGTTGATTGCCCTCAGGATCGTTCGGATGAGGAAGGATGTCGTATGTTTGTTGACTTTTTGTTTATTCTTTGTTGGCATTTTTCAAAAACTCTGGGCAAATTTTAATTGAAATTCTCCTCTCTACTTTAAATTCATTTAGCCTGCTTACATGACAAATGGCAGTGTGATGATGGTACATGTATTAGTAAGGAATTAAGGTGTAATGGCAATATTGATTGCCCCGAGGATATATCGGATGAGAGACGTTGTCATGGTGAGCTAAATGGCTTAGTAAAATAATATATTTAGCAACGTAAATTAGAAAAATTTAAGGCTTACCTTAGTTCATAGAAAATTTAATCAGGAATTTTATAATAATGAAAATATAATATTTGTTAAATATTTTTATCAGCTATTTTTATATATCATAATAGTATATGAACGCCTTAGTATGCCTACAAAAAATCAGCACTCTAGCATTTATAGTTTAGAAATTATGGAATTTTTGAAAGTTGGCCTTTGGTGCGTATGACTATTATTAATTATGGGTTATTTTGGAAAAATGCTCATAACTTTTTTATTTGTGGAGATATTTTCGTGAAACAAAAAGCTATGAAAACCTAAGACTATAGCCTGGAAATATACAGAGGGAAAAACTACAGGTCTCATATGACTTCATGTGGAAAAATAATAGAAATTATTACTTATTATATTATTAATATACAATAAATATTTTTCTGTTATTATTTTAATATATAAATAAAGTATTTCAACGCCTTATTACGCCTACAAAAAATCAGCTCTCTAGCATTTATAATTTAAAAATTATGGCAATTTTAAATTTTGGCCCTTAGAGCGTATAACTAATATTAATTATGGGTTACTTTCGAAAAATGCTCATAACTATTTTATTTGTGGCGATATTTTCGTGAAACAAAAAGCTATAAATAACTAAGACTATAAGCTTGAAATATGTGGAGGGAAAAAATATAGGTCTCATACACCTTCAGGTGTAAAAATAATAGAAATCATAACCTTTGATATTATTACTATATAATAAATATTATTCAGTTATTATTTTAATATATAAATAAAGTATTTTAAGCCCTTAGTACGCCTACAAAAAATCAGCACTCTAGCATTTATAATTTAGGAATTACGAAATTTTTAAATGTTGGCCCTCGGTGCGTATGACTATTATTAATTATGGAATATTTTGGAAAAAGGCTCATAACTTTTTTATTTGTGGAGATATTTTGGTGAAACAAAAAGCCATAAATACCTAAGATTATAAGCTTGAAATACGCCAAGGAAAAAATAATAGTACTCATACGCCTTCATATGGAAAAATCAATAAAAATCACACATTAGTATATTCAGCTATTTAATATGCCTCCAGTAAAACCCAAATAACTTCTAACCTATTTAAGCAAATCAAATGAAACAAAAACTAGAAAATACTTAAGATTGTGGACCCAAATTATAGGCTATGGCTTATATATTTATACAATTAAAAATGAAAAATTTTCAAGCTTTGAAACAATTATTTTTCAAATTTTTATTTTTTTTTTTTCATTCTTACATTTGAAGGAAGAAATTTCTTTGCTAACTTATTTTAATTCCGATTATCTTAAATATCAAAAATTCCCTTAGTACCTCTTCAATATTCCGCCCTGCATTCATTTAATTTATAAAAAAAAAATCCTCAAGATTTCTGATATTATTCTCATGCTGCTCTGCCATTTAAGTTTTACAAATTATTTTTATTTTATTTCATTTTTTTCGCTGTCAACAATCACTTATAGCACTGCATTTTTTTTCGAAAAATTTATGACATGCCTTAGCATAGTTTTGAGATTAGTATGCCAACAATGTTGCAAACGGCAGCAGCCAGCAGCATTCACACCCATTTTAATAAATGGCCACATGCCATTAACACGAATCTTACCTCTCAACAAAAGTAATTTTTCAGTTTTCGATAAAAATCTCAAAACAGCAGTATTTAAATAACAATAAATTACCTGAAATAATTTAATTTATTGCTGAAATTGTACAGTACATTTTTTGTAATTCTTTTCTACGATTAAAATTCCTTTGACGTTTACAGCAACTGTCAAGAATTTTAATAAAACTAGATTTCGAATGCATACCTTGTTTCGGATGACTGTCTTATTTTTTAATATGGCCCCACATTTACATTTGTTTGACATCTTGACGTCATATCCCTTTATATAGAAGAAACGCCCCTTATAAAAAATTCACATTAGAAATATTTGTAACATTATAGCATTTCATCTGCCATAGATGTGGGGAAATTGATTAATTCTGAAATTAATTAATTCTGAGTAGAAAATAAAATTGTTAAGGAATGTGATGGCTATTTTTAGTTTAATAAATTATAAGAGAATTAAGTGTGCCAACGAAATTCCATATAAATTAATTTAAAATTCTGAGAATATCGTGGTGTATTTTAAATATTAATTTGGGTCATAGGGAGCGTATGATTTATAATAATTATTGAGTTACTTACGAAAACTTCCCATAACTTTTTTGTTAACCAAGGGAATTTTTTGAAATAAATGGCATTTGGAAGGCAAGATATGCGACTTTCTTGTGTAAAAATATCCCAGAACAAATTCATAACACATTCAATACAATTAATTAAATTTTCTTAAAAACATTTTTCTTTGAAAAATTTTTTAATTTCTTTTTAATATTTTTTCGCCCAAAAAATAATATCTTGAGGACTTTTTTATTCTTTATTGTTTAAATATATGATCCCCAGTATTATCTAATTTTTCTAAGGCTCAAAATCATTGATTTACCCGAATTTCTTTTTTCGTACACGGGGGCGTATGATTTATAATAATTATTGAGTTAATTAAGAAAAATACTCATAACTTTTTTGTTTCCCAAGGGAATTTTGTGAAATAAATAGAAATTGAAAGGCAAGACATCCGACTTTCTTGGGTAAAAATATCCCAGAACAAATTCATAACACACTCAACACAATTAATTTAATTTTCTTAAAAAAATTTTTCTTTGAAAAATATTTTCTTGATTATATTTTATCCCCCCAAAAAAATAATTTCTTGAGGACTTTTTTATTCTTTATTGTTTAAATATATGATCTCCAATTATATCAAATTTTTTTGGGGATCAAAATCGTCGATTTCCCTGTATTTCTTTAAATTACCTCCGTGCGTATGATTTATATTAATTATTGGGTTACTTACGAAAAATTCCCATTACTTTTTTGTTTCTCAAGGGAATTTTATGAAATAAATAGAAATTGAAAGGCAAGATATGAGGCTAGGTGGTGTGAAAATATCGCAGAACAAGTTCATAACACATTCAATACAAATTTATTAATTTTTTCAAAATATTTTTTTTTCTATGAAAAATATTTTATTTTTTTTTTTAATTTTTTTCAAAGAAAATATAATTAATATATTTTTTCAGAAGGTCTTTTATTCATCGTTCGTTCAAATATATGATTTTCATTTTTTCTAAATTTTTAGGGCTTTAAATCGCTGTTTAAAATTAATTTCCTTTTGTGTGCCATATTGCGTATGATTTATATTAATTATTGAGATCGTTTGGTAAAATATTTATATCTCCTTTATTTCTTAATGGAATTTTATGAAATAAATGGGATATGGAAGGCAAGACTTAACGCTTTCTGGTGTAAAAATATTCCCGAACAAAATCCCAACACATTCTATATAAATTATTTATTTTATTGGGATATAGTTGAATTTTTTTTCTCCTTATATGAATCTTTTTAATTTGAATTTTTTTTTTCAAAAAAAAAAAATATTACTCCTTGTCATTATTTTTTCTCTCTTAACTGAAATTATGATTCCAAATTGTTTCCTAATTTTTTGAGGGCTTCAAATCACTGATTTATTGGATTTTCCCTTTTGGTACCCCACTGCGTATGATTTATAATAATTATTTGATTGTTTTGGGAAAACTGCCATAACGTCTTCATTTCTTAATGGAATTTAATGAAATAAATGACATATAGAAGGCAAGACTTGAGGCTTTCTGATATAAAAATATCGTAAAAGAAATTCCGAACCCATTCCGCAAATATTATATAATTTAATGAGACATAGTTAATTATAATTATTAGGTTGTTTAACAAAAATTGTCATAACTTCTTCATTTCTAAATGGAATTTTATGAAATCAATGGCATTTGGAAGGCAAGACTTGAGGCTTTCTGATATAAAAATATTGTTAAAGAAATTCCGAACTCATTCCTCACAAATTATATATTTCTATGAGACATAATTGTATTTTTTACTTTTGCTGAATTTTTTGAATTTTAAAATTTTATATTTAAACAAAAATATTATATTTCTGGGCTTTATTTCTTTCCTTCTTATCTGAATTTATGATTCCAGATTTTTTCCTAATTTTTTGAGGGCTTCAAATCATTGATTTCATGGATTTTCCCTTTTGGTACTCCAGTGCGTATGATTTATAATAATTATTGGGTTGTTTTAGTAAATTGGCCATAACTTTTTTATTTCCTAACTAAATTTTTTGAAACACATGGCATATGGAAGCAAAGATTCGAGGCTTTCCCCTACATAAAAATTCCCAACAAAAATTCCCATAATATTTCCTGAAATGTGATTTTTTATCGAAAATTTTTTCTAGGAACAAATATTTTTAATTTTTTTTATGTTCTAAAAATTATTCCTTGAGTTTCCTTTGACATTTTTTGATACTTTCTGGTTTTCTTTGGATTTTGTAAATATCCTATATTATTTTTGGGTCAAAATTTATGTAGTTTTATGTGTAATTTGTTTCAATTTTGCTTAGAAAAAAATTATGTTGGAATTTTTTAAAATTTCTCAGTTTTGGTTTCCTGACATCCTTCCCTTTTTTTGGTTTTATGTTTCGAATATTTTTCCTTGATTTTTGTATACCCATTTGCTTAGAAAAAGTCCTCAAAATTCCCACTTCATCATCATCTTTAATTTTTTTTTTTAATAAAATTTCGAAAATTATTTTTCTTTATTTTAGTTTCTATTTTGTAGTTCCTTAACCTAAAAATATATATCTTTACTTTATTTTATTGCATGTTCTCCACTAACCTAACCAAAAAAAAATCACTTTTAACACGCTTGTAAAAATGTTTGAACACACCACTTCAAAAAAATGCAAAACACGCCATGCTCTCCTCTCATCAATCTCCCAAGGCGGTGATCGCCATTATAATCCCTATGATGAAGATGATGAGGAACAATGTCGTTACAATGAATTCCGTTGTGATAATGGTCAGTGTATTCTATATCGTGAGGTATGCGACAATATCTATGATTGTTCCGATTATTCCGATGAAAGGGATTGTGGTAAGTTCGAAATTTTCTTCCAAAAGAAAAAAAAAACTTGGGGAAAATTTTCAAATTTTGTGTTTCAAAAAAAAAAAAAACAACTTTCTGGTGGTGGCTAATCAATTTTGTCTAATCTGTTTTCTTTCTGGTGATGGTAAATAATTGGCTTTATGTAGCAATTGGCATAAAAATATGTAGTTTTGTGTGTATTCTCAAATTTGGAATTTAATTTTTTTATTAATCGAAACAATTCCCTTTGATTTCTTAACTTTTCTTCTTCTTTCCCACCCCGAAACAAAAACAAAAAACCACAAAATTTCTTCAAAAATCAAATCAAAACGAAAACTATTTTTTGTGGGTTTGGTGTACAACTCAACTAACCTAAAAATAATACTACACTACACTGTAAAAAATTTTGTACAAAAAAATTAAATTTTTTTGTTCAAAATTCCAATTGGATTATGGTCGAAAAAAAATTTCAAAATGAATGGTGTGAAACAACAACAACAACAAATTGGCGAACCTACCCCTCTGCATGTTTTATCATTTTATTTTATATTAACAACAACAACAACAAAAACTCATAAACCTAACCTCCAACACCCCCTCGAAAAAATAAAATTGGAATTGCATGCGGTTTAACACAACAAAAACAAAAATCGAACCACTCACAGATCTGGAAGATATGAAAAAAGATATTTTCGATGATGATGAAATTATCCGCGAATATGCACCACATCACAAAAGACCCACACAAGCCCCACCACAAACGCATTACCAAACACCTCAACGCGGTGGTGCTGCTGCTGGCACTGGCGGCCTACACGAATTGGATATGCACGATTATTATTATCAAAAGGCCAATGATCACAATCCATGCTCTGCCTCACAATTCCGTTGCGGCAATAATGTTTGCATTCCGCTAAAATTACGTTGTGATGGTTTCTATCACTGCAATGATCTGACCGATGAAACGGGTTGTGATGAAGATCTTGAGTTAGAATATAATAGGCCAGTAACGCATAGACCACCACCGGCAAATATTGTACACACAACAAAGGCCCCAACGACAACAGCCACACGCCGTAATACAACAGCGGCCTCCTATTGGACAACGCAACGAACAACATCGACAACGATACAAACAACACCGACGACTACACCAGCACCGAGTAGGTGGTCTTTAATGTTCATGTTCTCCCTCTCAGTCGCTCTCATTATTATTCAAGGAGGCAAAATAATCAAAACAATCAGCATTCAATCATCCAACATAGTTATCATAGTCTCACAGTTCATAATCTCTTTGATTTCAATTCATTTTTCTTTCACTCTCTCTCTCACACACACATAATTTGCCTAGTGGTAAAATTATTACATGGCTCTGCTCTCTAGGTTTTCTCAGGAGCTCTCTTTATCACAGTTAAATTCAACAACTGTGCATCCCCCCACATTTGTCCATATGAATAATAAAGGTTCTCTCTTTTAGGGAATACAATTTGTTTTCTTAATTTGCCCCTATGGCAAACATAATACGAGACTCTCTCCTTTACTTCCTTCTCAAACGCTCTCTTTATCACAGTTAATCGCAATGCCTCAGAAAATACTGATCATGCTCCCACACATTTGCACATATGAATAATAACAGTTCTCTCTCCCTCTATCTCTCTCTTTGTTTGTTTACTCCTCCCGTGTGGTGAACATGTCACAAGTCTGTCTCATTGTTTACTTTGTAAGGCAGCTGTAAACAAATCACAAGACTCTCATTGTTTACTTTGTAAGGCAGTTTGTGCATGCACAAGCAACAGTGATAAGGCGCGCATACACACGCACACACACATGCACAAGCAACAGTGCTAATAGCATTCTTCCCACACGGAGTAAGGGGTTGTAAGGTTGTTGTGCATGCACAAGCAACAGTGATAAGGCGCTCACACACATTTAATTTCAATGTCGCAGAAACACATTTGCCCATATGAGTAATAACAGTTCTCTCTCTCTCTTTATTTGTTTACTTCCCCACGTGTGGTAAACAAATCACAAGACTCTGCTCGGCCTCATTGTTTACTTTGTAAGGCAGTTGTGCATGCACAAGCAACAGTGATAAGGCGCGTGCACACACACGCACACACACTAGTATTATCTATTCATTTCTTGTTCTTTTGATATGCTCTGCCTCTTCATTATGCCCAGAGAGCATATCATTCTCCCCAAACTGAGTACATGTACGCATGCTGTTTAGGCACAAACAACAATGTACACAGCCACACACACAGGACTACTACGTAACCCTTTGTTGTTGCATACAGCCAAACAACCATATTCTGTTTGTTTTGTTATGCTCTGGCTCTTCTTATACACAAAGGCACAACAACGAGGCGTAGGCAAGCGCGCGCACACACACACAGTCCTATTAACTACTGTTCTGTTGTCGTTTCCACAACCGAGGAGTCTACGATCCGAAACGACACGAGTCATACTCGGCCAACGACTGTCACCTAAGGCCATTGTGTGAAAGCAATAGGACTGCTAAAACAACAACAACAATTGTTTTGTGTTTGCCTTACGCCTTTCCCTTCCACACTCTGTCGTTTGTTGTGCTTGGCTGTGCTCAGAGACTGAAGAGTAATCATGGCCGCCATATACAAAGGGCATAATGAAAAACAACAGAGAGACAAAGCCCTCTACTTCCTATTTATTATCTCTCTCTTTGTCAGCAACTTTGTTTGCAAGCATGATCGTTCACCAAATAACAAAGAGTTTGCCTACAACACCCCGAATGAACTAGAATTTCCATGAGACATTTTTAAATCATTTCCTTGCAATAAAAATTCACAAAATTCTCCAGAGTTGCCACCTCTTTTAAAAATCACAAACAAACATAATTATTAATCACCTAATTAATCCAACACATATAAACATTTAACACATTATTAACAAATCCAATCACAATGAAACAAAAAACAAAACACCCCACCAACAACAAAGTTATGAAATGTTAAAAATTTAAAGAAAAAAAACACGCCTATGAATTTTTTACAGTGTACCTCCTTTTTGTGTTCAATATGTGGTCCTTATAGCTGTAAAATCAAAATGTCATAATTATTTATGTGTGACAATGTCTGTATTATTTTAAACTAATTTAAAAACAAATATTTTACTATCGATACTATCTGTATCGAAAATATTTTTTTATCGATTTAAAAAAAAGTTTACACCTTGTCTTTGTTAAACATTTCATAACTTTGTGTTCAAATTTAATTCGAAAACAAAAAAAAAAAACATTTCAAAATTTCATTAAACACATTGCATTTTATTATTACTATTATTTATATATATTTATTTTAATTATTTTATTTTTACATATAAACATACCAAAAAATTGCATCCCTTTTCTGCATCACAAACAAATAACTTCTCACTTTCTTTATGATGAATGCAAAACAAAAAAACTATCGAATCAATCACGATCATGTTTACAAATTCAAAATTTTCTTGGAATTTCATCACTGCTGCCACTGAAAAACAAAAAAAAAATTCGCAAAAACTTCGTAACTTCAGCGAAAAAATCCTGTTTACCCAACGAATTTATGTGCGAAAATGGCGAATGTTTGGCTTTGGAAGCCGTCTGCGATGGTGTTGGTGATTGCCGGCGTCACGATGATGAAAGCTATGGGCTGTGTCATTGTGATTATGATAAGGTAAGTTGTTGTTGTTGTTTACATCTTGCAGCTCTCAATCACTCACTCTCTCGCGAGAGAGGGAGAGTGAGATATGTAGAGCAAGTGAGATGTAAGAGTAACATCATCATCCATCGATTTTTGATTTGTTGAGAGCAAGAGAATTATAACGGAAACAAAATTAACCAAAAACAATAACAACAATTTATAGTTCAAATGTAAACGAGGCGGTGGTTGTTTGCCAAAGACACAGGTCTGTGATGGCCGGGCTCAGTGTAGAGATGGCAGTGATGAAATTAATTGTCGTAAGTATGAGTAAAATTTTTGCAACAAAATTTTATTTTTTTATTTTATTTTTAATAATCATTTAAATATGAAAAAAATTGCATGTCTTGTAGTAATTTATTTTAAAATATTTTTTTTAAATACTTTTTTTAATGCATGTGGTAGTTAAATTAGCATGTTAATTTTTATAGTTGAAAAAAAATTTTTTTTTTTTTTTTGCATGTAGCATGGATTTTTTCATTAGACAATTCGTAACTAATTTAAATTTTTTAATTAACATCAAGAAAATAGCTTTTAGATTTTTTTTTTTTCTTAAAAAATAATTTTAGAGTAAAAAATTTTTTTAAAAAATTTTTTTAGTTATAAACAATATAATTTATATTTTTATTTATGTAGTTAATAATTTTTTTATATATTTTATTTATGTTTTATTATTTTTTATTTTTATATATAAAAAATATTTTTATATATATTGTTTATAAAAAAATTAAATTTTTTATTTTATTATTTTTTAGTTAATTATTTTTTTAAATTATTTTTTTTTATTAAAAATATTAAATTTTTTATTTTATTATTTTTTAGTTAATTATTTTTTTTTAATTATTTTTATAATTTTTGTAGTTATATTTATTTTTATAATTTTTACCCCCTTCCATATTCCCTTAATTTTACAAAAAAAAACAACAACAAAATAAAAACCTTCAAATACGGGTTTTAATTAAAAAAAATAATAATACTGAGTTGACACAACTTCGGCCCCCCACGATCAAACAAAATCTTCCACCGTTCGAAAATTTACGTACAATGTTTTTTTTTCTCTCATTTTCTGTCATTTGTCATCGAAAAAAATCATCAACCAACGACATGTTATCGAAAAATCAACCATTTTTATCGATCGATTTTATCGATTATTATTTCTTTTTATTAGCATGATTTCATTCCGTTCATTTCTTATGCATGCATTTATGTTATTCGTATATGGTCTTGTTTTGAAAAAAAAAATTGTTATCGATAATTTTTTTTTTCATAAAAAATTGTTATCGATAATTTTTTTTTCATAAAAAATTTTTATCGATATTTTTTTTGTCAGAGAAAATATGGTCTTTATTAAAAAAATTGTATCGATAATTTTTTCCCAAAAAAAATAACTATGATTCTTTTTCACAAAAAAATGTTATCGATAATTTTTTTTCGGAAAAAAATTGTCGTTTTTTCATAGAAAATGTAACTATCGATAATTTTTCTTTTCATAAAAAAATAATCGATATTTTTTGTCGCAAAATATATAGTCTTGTTTAAAAAAACTGTTATCGATAATTTTTTCCAAAAAAAATTACTATAATTTGTTTCCACAAAAAAAAATTATCGATAATTTTTTGCGGAAAAACATTTTATCGGTAATTTTTTTTTTCTCGGAAAAAATTTGTCGTTTTTTCATAAAAAATGTACCTATCGATAATTTTTCTTTTCATAAAAAAATAATCGATATTTTTTGTCGGGAAAAATAAGGTCTTGTTTAAAAAAATTGTTATCGATAATTTTTGCCAAAAATAAAATAACTTAATTTGTTTCCACAAAAAAAAATTTTATCGATAATTCTTTTTTAATTTTTTTTCGGAAATTTTTTTTTTTTGCTTTTTCATACAAAAATTTATCGAAAAAATATGGTCTTGTTTTAAAAAAAAATTGTTATCGATATTTTTTCCAAAAAAATAACTATATTTTTTCCACAAGAAAATGTTATCGATAATCTTGTTTTTTGTGCTATTAATTATTTTTCATATTGAAAATACTGTTATCGATAATTTTTTCCATAGAAAAAAAATTATCGATAATTTTTTGATCGGAACAAAATATGGTCTTGTTTAAAAAATTGTTATCGATAAAATTTTCCAAAAAAAAAAAACTATAATTTGTTTCCACACAAAAATTTTATCGATAATTCTTTTTATTTTTTTTTTTGTCGGAAAAAAATTCTCTTTTTCATACAGAAATTTATCAGAAAAAAATTTGGTCTTGTTTAAAAAAATTTTGTTATCGATATTTTTTTCCAAAAAAAAAAACTATTTTTTGCACAAGAAAATGTTATCGATAATTTTTTTATCGGAAAAAAATTGTCGATGATATTTTGTGCTATCAATTATTTTTCATATTTAAAATACTGTTATCGATAATTTTTTTCCATAGAAACAAAAATTATCGATAATTTTTTTAACGGAACAAAATTTTATCGAGAAAAAAATTATCGTTGAAATTTGTGTTGCGAATTATTTTTGCTATTGAAAATATTGTTATCGAACATTTTCTAATTTTTATCGATAAAATTTTCTATCGCAAAATTCACTTATCGATTTTATTCCAATTTAATATTAGTTTTTATTTATTTTTGCTACTGAAAAAAAATTGTATCGATAAATTTTTTTTCGATAATTTTTTTATCGGAACAAAAAATTATGGATAATTTTTTATTGGAAAAAATTTATCGATTATATTTTTTGCAATGAATTATTTTTGCCATTGAAAATATTGTTGTCGATAAAATTTTCTAATTTTGATCGATAACATTTTCTATCGAAAATTCAATTATCTATTTTTTTTAATTTTTTTAACGAGACCATTACTTATTAAAAATTATGTTAAAATTTTATCGATATTTTTTCATAAAAAATTTTTTTTATCGATAATTTTTTTTATCGGAAAAAAAATTATGGATAATTTTTATCGGAAAAAATTTGTCGATTATATTTTTTACTATAAATTATTTTTGCCATTGAAAATATTGTTATCGATACAATTTTTTATCGAAAAATCAGTTATCGATAATTTTTTTCGATATTTTTTTATCGGAAAAAAAATTATGGATAATTTTTTTTATCGGAAAAAGATTATTGATAATATTTTTTTAATACAAAATTATTTTTGCCTTTGAAAATATTGTTATCGATAAAACTTTTTTATTGAATTTTTTTTATTGTTATCGATACAATTTTTTATCGAAAAATCAGTTATCGATAATTTTTTTATCGAAAAAAAATGTGATTAATTTTTTTTATCGGAAAAAAATATTGATGATATTTTTTACTACAAAATTATTTTTGCCATTGAAAAAATTGTTATCGATAAAATTTTTTATCGAAAATTCAGTTATCGATTTTTTTTTAATTTTTATTTAAAACAAGACCTGTATTTATTTTATTTTCTTTTATTCGTATTCTTTTTATTTCACTCTTCTTTGTTTCATATTCTATGTCTATCTGTTTTCTTATTTTTTTTTTTCAAAAAAAAAAATTCAAAAAAAATCATTTTTCTAATCATTTTCTTTTTTCTTTAAATTTTGTCATACCTCTCTTTTATTTTCATGGCCCATTTTGATCAAAATTACATTTCGACTATCATCTGACATAAAAAACTCTCATCTATTCATCATGCCACACACCCACTCGACAACAACAACAAAAACAAACATTTTTTTCCAAAACTTCATCAAAAGATTTCACGGCTAATTTTAATAAGACCCGCAATTTGGCCGACTGCCTCAGTTATCAGTTTCAATGCGCCGATGGCATTTGCATAGCCGATTATAAGCTGTGCAATGGCATAACCGATTGCCTGGACGGTTCGGATGAAATAAATTGTCCCATCAATTACGATGACACGAATTATGGTAAAGCAACAACAAACAAAGAAATTTACTCTCTCTCTCTCTCCCATTTAGAATAGAGTTTAACAGCAATTCCCCTCTTAGAGAGTAGTTGAAGAAAGCACCATTATTAACATGGCATACTTTTAGGGGCTAGTTTTCATTTGTTTGATATTTATTTATTTCTAATTAGAATTTTAATTGAATGATTTTTTTTTAATTTTTTCTCTCTTACATATCAAAATAAAAACATCATCTACATATGCATCATTTCAACATACACACATATATACAAACATCATCTATATTCACCCACACACACCCACCCATCCGCATGAACGCCTCAGACTTTGAACCCGACGATTCACTCAGCGAATGTGATCTCTACGAATTCGAATGTGACTATTCACGTTGTATACCAATCGAAAAGAAATGTGACGGCTATCCCGATTGTGATGATGAAACCGATGAAATCGATTGTCCACCATTTACAGGTAGGGGTCATTGCCTCCAAAAAAAAGGATCCTCTCCCCCAAAAAAGGATCCTCAACAGAAAAATATTTCCTTCGAACTTCCAACTAACATTTCATGTTCGTCTTGAAATATTCCTCTTCTTAACCCACGAATTTTGTGTTTTTCATGTTTCCCCCCGTTTGCCCCACACCCGACACATTTTCTGTCATCTTGTTTTGTTCTGTTTCCCCCCCAGATAATTGTCACGACAATGAATTTGAGTGTGATAATAATTATTGTATTTTACGTGGCCAACTCTGTAATGGCATACCGAATTGCAATGATGGTACGGACGAAAAGAATTGTACATTCTGTCGGGAGGGTGCTTATCTGTAAGACATTTTTTTTAAACACATTTTTTTCATTTTCATTATTTTATTTTTTTTAATGGAATTTGCCTTAAAAAATATTAAGTAAAACAAAACTATATAACTTTTAAGAAAAAAATAATAAAACAAAATTATAAAAATTAAAATAAAATATTTTTTATATAAAAAAAATTTTAACATAAAAAATATTTTTTATATAAAAAAATTTTAATATAAAAAATATTTTTTATATAAAAAAATTAATAAAAAAAATATTTTTTATAAAAAAAAAATTTTAATATAAAAAAAAATTTTTATATAAAAAAATTCTTTAATTAAAAAAAATAATAAAAAAATATTTTTTATATAAAAAAAAATTTATTATATAAAAATATTTTATATATAAACAAATTTTTAATATAAAAAAAACATTTTTTTTATATAAAAAAATTGTAATAAAAAAAATATTTTATTATATAAAAAAAATTTTTAATAGAAACAAATATTTTTTTATATAAAAAAAATTTTTTATATAAAAAAAATATTTTTAAAAATATATATAAAAAAAATATTTTTTTTTATATAAAAAAATATTTGTTTTGAAATAAAAAAATATTTTTTTTATATAAAAAAATTTTAATATAATAGCCAAAAAAAATTTTTTTTTATATAAAAAAATTTTTTATAATTTTTTATATAAAAAAATATTTTTTATATAAAAAAATAAAAAAATATTTTTTTATATAAAAAAAAATTTTAATCTAAAAAAATATATTTTTTTTGAAATAAAAAAATATTTGATTTGAAATAAAAAAATATTTTTTTTTTAAATAAAAATAATATTTTTTAATAAAAATAAAATATTAAGTTAAAAAAAAAAACTTTTTTATAGCCAAAAATATATTTTTTTGTCAAAAAGTATATTTTTTATTTAAAAAAATATTTTTTTATTTAAAAAAATATTTTTTTTATTTAAAAAAAAATATTTTCTTATTAATTTTTTTTTTAATTAAAAAAAAAATATTCTTTCTTAACAAAAATGTTTTCTATGAAAAAGAAATTTTTAAAAAAATTTAAAAAAAATACTAAAAAAAACTTACTTTTTAAATTTGAAACAATATTTTACATTAAAAAAATATTTTTTTATAGGAAAAATTAATTTTTTTTAAAAATAATTTTTTATAGCAAAAAAAGTTTTTTATCAAAAAATATTTTTTTTATAGCAAAAAAAGTTTTTTATAAAAAAATATTTTTTTTAGCAAACAAATGGTTAATTCAAAAACTAAAAAAATAAAAAAATATTTTTTTATATAAAAAAAATTTTTAATCTAAAAAAAAATATTTTTTTTTGAAATAAAAAAATATTTGATTTGAAATAAAAAAATATTTTCTTTTTTAAATAAAAATAATATTTTTTAATAAAAATAAAAATTAAGTTAAAAAAAAAAAACTTTTTTATAGCCAAAAAATATTTTTTTTGTCAAAAATTTCTTAACAAAAATGTTTTCTATGAAAAATAAATTTTTAAAAAAATTTAAAAAAAAATACTAAAAAAAAACTTACTTTTTAAATTTGAAACAATATTTTACATTAAAAAAAATATTTTTTTATAGGAAAAAATTAATTTTTTTAAAAAATAATTTTTTATAGCAAAAAAAGTTTTTTATCAAAAAATATTTTTTTTTATAGCAAAAAAAGTTTTTTATCCAAAAATAATTTTTTATAGAAAAAAAAAGTTTTTTATAAAAAAATATTTTTTTTAGCAAACAAATGGTTAATTAAAAAAAAAAAATTATTCAAAAAAAATAATTTTTTTAATTCAAATTTCTATGAAACATAAATTTTGTACATATTTTTTATAAAAAAAAATACTAAAAAACCAAAAATACTTGCCTTTTAAAATTATATTTAAAAAAATAATTTTTTATAGGGAAAAAATAATTTTTTTCAAAAAATAATTTTTTATAACAAAAAAAAATTTTTTATTAAAAACTATTTTTTTATCGAAAAATAATTTTTATAGCAAAAAAAAAGTTTGTTATCAAAAAATAATTTTTTATAGGAAAAAAAGTTTTTTTAAAAAAAATAATTTTTTATAGCAAAAAAAAGTTTTTTATAAAAAAATAATTTTTTATAGCAAAAAAAAATTATCAAAAAATAATTTTTTATAGCAAAAAATATTTTTTTGCTCAAAAGATAATTTTTTATAGCAAAAAAAAAGTTTTTTATAAAAAAATAATGTTTTATAGCAAAAAAAAATTTTTTATCAGAAAATAATTTTTTATAGGAAAAAAAGTTTTTTATCAACAAATAATTTTTTATAGCAAAAAAAAAGTTTTTTATAAAAAAATAATTTTTTATATCAAAAAAAAAAATATCAAAAAATAATTTTTTATATCAAAAAAAAAAATTATCAAAAAATAATTTTTTATAGCAAAAAATATTTTTTTTTCTCAAAAAATAATTTTTTATAGCAAAAAAAAATAATTTTTTATAGCAAAAAAAATTTTTTTATCAGAAAATAATTTTTTATAGGAAAAAAAAGTTTTTTATCAAAAAATAATTTTTTATAGCAAAAAAGTTTTTTATCAAAAAATAATTTTTTATAGCAAAAAAACGTTTTTTATCAAAAAATAATTTTTTATAGCAAAAAAAGTTTTTTATCAAAAATTTTTTTTTCGAAAAAATTAAATTTTGAAAAATTATTATTATTATTATTTTTTGTTTTTTTTATGAACAAATTAATTCTTGAAAAAAAAATTATTTTTTTCTTAAAAAAATATTTTTGTAAATTTTTATACCCCTCAACCCACTTTGGTACAGGGTATTATGTCTTTGTGCATATGTTTGTAACAGGCACAAGGAAACGGGATAGACACATGGTTCCTTTTGAGAACATGCATAGAATCACTTTCGGAGTCGATTTATGCATGTATGTCCGTCTGTCCGTCCTTCCGTCTGTCTGCCCGTCTGTAGATGTTTAATTGTAAACAATGTACAGATCGCATTTATGATCCGATTTGGATGAAATTTGGCATACATGACTTATTTGGCCCAAGAACAAACCCTATTGTGAATTGGTGAAAATCGGTTCATATTTAGATATAGCTCCCATATATATTTTCGTCCGATATAGCCACCAAAGTCCCTATATGTTCTTCGATTTTCACAAAATTTGGCATAGCGTACTTAATAAGGTCCAGAATGATGTGTGTTAAGTTTCGAGAATATCGATTCAGATTTAGATAGCTCCCATATATATTTTTTTCCGATTTTATGTAAATGGTGCACCATAGTCCCTATATATCTTTCGATTTACACGAAATTTGGCATAGAGTACTGAATTAGGTTCAGAATGATGTGTGCTAAGTTTTGTGAAAATCGGTTTAGATTTAGATATAGCTCCCATATATAGTTTTGTCCGATTTTATGTAAATGGTCCACCAGTTTTTTTTTATGAAAAAAATATATATTTTTGATAACAATTTTTTTTTTTTTTTTGAGAAAAAATAATAAAATACTTTTTTTAATAAAATTTAAAAATTCAAAAAAAAATTCAAGGCAAATTCCATTAAACTTTATAATTTCATTTATCTTCCTGATTTTTTTTATTTATTTTTCATTCATTCATTAATTTTTTTCATTTTTCTACTTTCAAAACAAAACATTCATTGAACCCACCAATCAAACGAAAACAACATCGACACACAACAACAACAACATCATCATGATCATCATCAACCAAAAAAAAAAACATGCAACAACAACAACATTTGAAAAATGCTGCACCCAAACACCTACAACCTCATGCACCTACACACACACACACCCATATGCAATCACCAACACATGTATATACATATCACCCAAACAATCACCAATAATCATATAAATTTTGTTGCATACTTTTTGGGGTTAAAATTAAATATAAACAAAATATTGAAAAAAAAATTATTTATTATCGAATGCCTGCCCCGCACCCCTTTAATTTTTGAAAAAAAAATCGAAAAAAGTTGCACCACCGGTGAATGTATTTTAGCCAATATGCACTGTAATGGCCATAACGATTGTGCCGATGGTAGTGATGAGCACAATTGTGGTAAGTTTTTGGTAGAAGCTTTTGAGCGTTTTTTTTTTTCTAGTTCCAAAAAATATTTAGTTTTTAGTATGGGAGTTTTAAAAATGGGATTCTAATTTTTTTTAGGATTTTTTTTTTAATTTTTTTTAAATTTTTTTTAGCATTTTTTTTTTTAATTTTTTGTTTAAATGTCAAATTTGCCTTCCATTTTCATTTAGACCCCTGCCCAATTGGCTATATTAAATGCAATAATACCTGTGCCAATTCGAATATTAATTGTGATGGCCACATTGATTGTGAGGATGGTATCGATGAACGGAATTGTCCCGGTAATGGTCAAAAATAACAAAACAAAAATAATTTCCCCATCCCACCATAATCCTCAAAAAAAATTTGTATATTCTTTACAAAAAAATATTATTCTTAAACCAGTAAGGAAAGTAGTAAAGTCGGACTGGGCCCATATATATTTTCGTCCGATTTAAGGTAAATGGTGTACCAAAGTCCCTAACTATCCTTCGATTTTCACGAAATTTGGCACAGAGTACTAAATTAAACCTAGAATGATGTGTGTTAAATTTCGTTCAGATTTAGATATAGCTCCCATATATATTTTCGTCCGATTTAAGGTAAATGGTGCACCAAAGACCCTATATATCCTTCGATTTGCACAAAATTTGGCATAGCGTAATGAATTAGGTCTAGAACGATGTGTGCGAAGTTTCGTGAAAATCTGTTCAGATTTAGATATAGCTCCCATATATATTTTCGCCCGATTTAAGGTAAATGGTGTACCAAAGTCCCTATATATCCTTCGATTTGCACGAAATTTGGCAAAGCGTACTAAATGGAGTCTATAATGATGTGTGCTAAGTTTCGTGAAAATCGGTTCCGATTTACATATAGCTCCCATATATATTTTCGTCCGATTTTAGGTAAATAGTGCACCAAAGTCTCTAAATATCCTCGATTTGCACGAAATTTGGCACAGCGTTCTGAATTAGGTCTAGAACGATGTGTGTTAAATTTCGTGAAAATCGGTTAAGATTTAGCTATAGCTCCCATATACATTTTCGTCCGATTTAAAATAAATCGTGCACAAAAGTCCCTAAATATCCTTCGATTTGCACGAAATTTGGCACAGGGTTCTGAATTAAGCCTAGAATGGTATATGCTAAGTTTCGTGAAAATCGGTTCAGATTTAGATATAGCTCCCATATATATTTTCGTCCGATTTAAGGTAAATGGTGCACCAAAGTCCCTATATATCCTTCGATTTGCACGAAATTTGGCACAGCGTTCTGAATTAAGTCTAGAACGATGTGTGTTAAATTTCGTGAAAATCGGTTCAGATTTAGATATAGCTCCCATATATATTTTCGTCCGATTTTAGGTAAATAGTGCACCAAAGTCCCTAAATATCCTTCGATTTGCACGAAATTTGGCATAGCGTAATGAATTAGGTCTAGAACGATGTGTGTTAAATTTCGTGAAAATCGGTTCAGATTTAGATATAGCTCCCATATATATTTTCGTCCGATTTAAGGTAAATGGTGCACCAAAGTCCCTAAATATCCTTCGATTTGCACGAAATTTGGTACAGCGTATTCAATTAAGCCTAGAACGATGTGTATTAAATTTCGTGAAAATCGGTTCAGATTTAGCTATAGCTCCCATATATTTTTTCGACCGATTTTAGGAAAATAGTGCACCAAAGTCCCTATATATCCTTCGATTTGCACGAAATTTGCCATAGAGTACTGAATCAGGTCCCGAATGAAGTGTGCCAAGTTTCGTGAAAATCGGTTCAGTTTTAGATGTAGCTCCCATATATAATTTCGTCCGATTTTAGGTAAACGGGACACCAAAGTCCATATATTTCCTTCGATTGGCACGAAATTCGGCACAGCGTACTTATTTGAGCCTAGAAAGATGTGTGCTAAATTTCGTGAAAATCGGTTAGGACTTAGTCGGCCCCGTCCGACATTACTACTTTCTTTACTGATTTTCTTTAATTTTTTTATTAATAAAAATTTCAATCCAATTAAATAAAAAAAAAAAAATTCGAAAAAAAAAATCCGAACTCCAGGCCTCAAATTTCTTACCCACCCGATACTCCATACCTCCCTCTTGCCATATATATTATCTCTACTTCTCTTATTTAAATTTTTCTTATTTGTATTAATTTTTTTATTATAATTTTCTTTTCACCCACATACATACACACACACACCACACACCCAAAATGTTGTCACCTCCATTCAAAAAAAAAAATCTTCAACTCCACCACCTTCACCACACTCGAATCACCAACCATCCATCCAAAAAAAAAAAATATTGTACACCGTGACAGAACGTGACATTAGCAATGATCTGCTCAATAATGAAATATTTCCCCATGAAACCTGTCAGCCGGATCAATTTCAATGTTCGAATTTAGAGTGTATTGAGAAAAAATATGTGTGTGATCACAGACCCGATTGTCTCGATAAATCCGATGAATCGGATGATTTGTGTAATTTTAAGGGTAACGTTTAGGAAATAAGTTTAAATTTGCCATACTCTAAGATAAGTTAGTTGATAAGTTTATAGCCAACCCAGCAAACATTTTTGTGTGTAAACAAATTTTTAACAAAAAAAAATTTCGAAATTCCAAAACTTTTTTTTCGAAAAATTTCGAAACCTAAAAACCTACTTTAAAATAAAAACCAACCTCATTCTAGCTCATTATTAATCAAAAAATTTATTTCCTCTTTTCCATGCTTCTCTTTCTACCCTATTACCTACCCTCTGCCCCCCACCCATACCCTTTGCATAACCACCCCCCTGTGTTTATGTGTCATTTATTTGTATCCCTGCCAAACATGAACAAAATCATGCTGACAAAAATGCTGTGTCATACTTTGGCCCAAACCATAATGCTTGCTTGTAAATAATGCACGCACACACACACACACTCTCAACCAACCACTCATCCCGATGAAATAAAAAACATGCAGAAACCAATGTCCTCACACCCGACGACTGTGACAGCTCACAATTCTTCTGTGACGATGATTGCCATCCCATTGCCATACGTTGTAACGGCGCCTACGATTGTGCCGATCGCACCGACGAAGAAGATTGCCCAGCCAAAGACCCCTACGATAGCGTACGCCCACCCACCTATCCCTGTCCCCAACACACCTGTCCCAATGGTAAATGTTACAGCGAAAGCGAACGTTGCGATGGCATTTCTCAGTGTGAAGACGGAACCGATGAATTGGATTGTAAGTTGAAATCAATCATGCTTCAAAGCAAAACTAAAAACCAAATCATATTTCATATTTTTTATATAACAACAACAACAACATTTTTTTCTAAATGCACATTTTAAAAAAAAAAAAATTTCAAATTTCAAAAAAAAATTTCGAAAATTATGCACTTTCATTAAAAAACCCCATTTGAACAAAATCGATGCAAAGAAAAACAAAAAAAACACCAAAATTAAATGGAAATGAAATTAGGGAAGGATTTAAATTAAAAAAAAAAATAATTAAAAAAAAAATTTTTTTCAAATAAAAAAAAAAATTTTTTCAAAAAATTTTTTTTTTTCAAAAAAAATTTTTTTTTTTCAAAAAAAAAATTTTTTTTATAAAAAAAAATTATTTTTTATAATAAAAAAAATATATATATTTTTTTTAATTTCTAAAAATATTTTTTCCCGATTTCTATTTTTATATCCACTATAAATTCGAGAGTAAGAAATATTCAGCGGGAACCCCATAAGGAATAAAAAAAAAATATTCTTGACCAGTTTTTCAACCAAAGTGCTTGAAATTTAATATGTTGGGTTCTCGTTGTGCAGCAAATCTCCTTATCAAAAATTACCAATATTGGGTCAAGTTTCAGGGTAGCACCCATATAACGTTAACCTAAATTTTCGATATTTTGAGGAGCTTGGGCGCATTTTTCAATTAAATTGGCTATAATTTGATATTTTAGGTTCTCATAAGGTTAGAAATCTTCATACCAAAAATTGCCAATATTGAGTCAAGTTTCAGGGTAGCACCCATATAACGATAACCTAAATTTTCAGTATTTTGGGGAGCTTGGACAAGTTTTTCAATCGAATTGGCTACAATTTGATATTTTTGGTTCTCATAGGGTGGCAAATCTACCTGCCAAAAATTATAATTATTGGTTCACTTTTTCGGATAGCCCCCATATAAATTTACCCTTAATTTTCGATATTTTGGGGAGCTTGGGCGCATTTTTCAATCAAATTGCCTATAATTTAATATTTTGGGTTCTCATAAGGTCAAAAATCTTCATACCAAAAATTATCCATATTGGTCAATTTTTTCGGATAGCCCCCATATAACCTTATCCTACAATTTTCGATATTTTGGGGAGCTTGGGTGCATTTTTTATTCAAATTGGCTATCATTTGATATTTTGGGTTCTCAAAAGGTCAAAAATCTTCATACCAAAAATTATCCATATCGGTCCATTTTTTACGATAGCCCCCATATAACGTTACCCCAAAATTTTCGATATTTTGGGGAGTTTGAACGCATTTTTCAATCAAATTGGCTATAATTTAGTATTTATGGATCTCATTAGGTAAAGAATCGTGTTACGAAAAATTATGAAGATTGGTCCACTTTTTAGGATAGACCCCATATAAGCATACCCTCAATTATCGGTATTTTGGGAATCTTGGACAAGTTTTTCAATCGAATTGGCTGTAATTTGATATTTTAGCTTCTCATGGGGTGGCAAATCTACCAACCAATAATTATAATTATTGGTCCAGTTTTTCGGATAGCCCCCATATAAAGTTACCCTAAATTTTCGATATTTTTGGGGAGCTTGGGTTCATTTTTCGCTCGAATTGGCCGAAATTTAGTATTTGGGGTTCTCATAAGGTCAAAAATTTTCATACCAAAAATTATCCATATTGGTCCATTTTTTAGGATAGCCCCCATATAACGTTACCCCAAAATTTTCTATATTTTGGGGAGCTTGGATTCATTTTTCAATGAAATTTGCTATAATTGGGTATTTTAACTTCTTGCGGGGTGCCAAATCTTCCTACCAAAAATTATGAAGATTGGTCGATTTTTTAGGATAGCCCCCATATAGAGGTACCCTATATTTTCGATATTTTTGGGAAGCTTGCGCTCTTTTTACAACCGAATGGATTCATAATTGATATTTTGAGTTCTCATTGAACAACCAACCTCCCTACCAAAATTTATAAAAATCTGTGTATCTTTGGGTATAGCTCCCATGTAAGGGTACCTCCCGATTTTCGGTATTTTGAGGATTTTCGATACATTTTTCAAGCGATTTGTCTCGAATTTGATATTTTGCGTTCTAATTGGGTAACCAACCTCCTAACCAAAAATTATAAAAATCGGAGGATCTTTGATTATAGTCCCCACATAAAGGTACCTCCCGATTTTCGGTATTTTGGGGATCTTGGGCAGGTTTTACAACCGAATGAGTTGTAAATTGATATTTTGGATTCTTATAGGCTGTTTGAACCTCCATACCAAAAATTACAAAAATTCGTGGATTTTTGAGTATAGACCCCATATAAGATATTTTCCGATTTTTGGTATTTTGCGGAGCTTGAGCGCATTTTTCAACCGAATTAGCTGTAATTTGATATTTCGGGTTCTCATTGGGTGGTAAAACTTCCTACCAATAATTATAAAATTCGGAGGATCCTTGGGTATAGCTCCCATGTAAGGGTACCTCCCGATTTTCGGTATTTTGAGGATTTTCGATACGTTTTTCAAGCGATTTTTCTGCAACTCGATATTTTGGGTTCTCATGGGATGTTTAATCTCCATACCAAGAAATATAAAAATTGGTGGATTTTTGAGTATAGTCCCCATATAAAATATATCCCGATTTTTGGTATTTTGCGGTGCTTGAGCGCATTTTTCAACCGAATTAGCTGTAATTTGATATTTTGGGTTCTCATTGGGTGGAAAACCGACCTATCAAAAATTATAAAAATCGGTGGTCCTTTTGGTATAGCCCCATATAATCGATTTTCCGATATGTTTTCCAAACGATTTGTCTGTAACTCGATATTTTGGGTTCTCATGGGCTGTTTAACCTCCATACCAAAATTTATAAAAATTGGTGGATTTTTGAGTATAGACCCCATATAAAATATATCCCGATTTTTGGTATTTTGCGGTGCTTGAGCTCGTTTTTCAACCGAATTAGCTGTAATTTGATATTTTGGGTTCTCATTGGGTGGTAAACCGACCTATCAAAAATTATAAAAATCGGTGGTCCTTTTGGTATAGCCCCATATAATGGTGTCTCCCGATTTTCGGTATTTTGAGGATTTTCGATATGTTTTCCAAACGATTTGTCTGTAATTCGATATTTTGGGTTCTCATGGGATGTTTAACCTCCATACCAAGAATTATAAAAATTGGTGGATTTTTGAGTATAGACCCCATATAAGATATTTTCCGATTTTTGGTATTTTGGGGAGCTTGAGCGCATTTTTCAACCGAATTAGCTGTAATTTGATATTTCGGGTTCTTATTGGGTGGTAAACCGACCTATCAAAATTTATACAAATTTGTGTATCTTTGGGTATAGCTCCCATGTAAGGGTACCTCCCGATTTTCGGTATTTTAATGATTTTCGATACGTTTTCCAAACGATTTGTCTGTAATTCGATATTTTGGGTTCTCATGGGATGTTTAACCTCCATACCAAGAATTATAAAAATTGGTGGATTTTTGAGTATAGACCCCATATAAGATATTTTCCGATTTTTTGTATTTTGCGGAGCTTGGGAAAGTTTTACAACCGAATTAGATGTAATTTGATATTTTGGGTTCTCATTGGGTGGTAAACCGACCTATCAAAAATTATAAAAATCGGTGGTCCTTTTGGTATAGCCCCATATAATGGTACCTCCCGATTTTCGGTATTTTGAGAATTTTAGATATGTTTTCCAAACGATTTGTCTGTAACTCGATATTTTGGGTTCCCACAGGCTGGTTAATCTCTATACCAAACATTATAAAAATTGGTGGATTTTTTAGTATAGTGTCCATATAAAATATATCCCGATTTTTGGTATTTTGCGGTGCTTGAGCTCGTTTTTCATCCGAATTTGATGTAATTTGATATCTCGGCTTCTCATGTGGTAACTAACCTCCCTACCAAAAATTATAAAAATCCGTAGATATTTGGGTACAGTCCCCATATAACAATACCTCCCAACTTTGGTATTTTGGAGGTGCTTGAGCATATTTTTCAACCGAAAAGGCTGTAATTTTATATTTTGGGTTCTTATTAGGTGATAAACCTTCCCATTAAAAATTATAATTATTTTTCAATATAAAAAAATCTCCCAATTTCATTTCCATTTAGAGTATATAAAATATTTTTTTTTCAATATTTTTCTTAAAAAAAAAATATTTTTTTTCTATATATATATAATATTTAACAACTTTCATTCTTCTATTAAAGCACTAACAACAATTTCTTCATTGTACCATACACTTTCTTTCAATTTTTTTCTTTTCTCTATCCTTTCAAATAACAAAAAAAAAATCACTGTGCAAACCAAAAAAAAAAAAAAAAAAACAAATTTTCAAATCTCTTTCTCATTCCATAAAAAAAAATATGATTTTTCATTTATTATAAAATATTTATTATATGTATAACAAAAAAAAAAAACAAATCACAGGCATAAACTGTAAGGACGATGAATTTTTCTGTTTCGATCATAAATATTGCATCAATGCGACTCAACACTGTGATGGATATTATGATTGTAAAGATTTTTCAGATGAACAAAATTGCATTGGTTAATATCGACAACGTTTTTTCTCTCTCTACTTTAAATATATAATCACTGTTATAGTAGTTAATTTTTATTTATATATTTTATATATGTATAAAAATTATATATTATTTTTATTTTATAGAATTTTTTTTTAATTTTAAGGCATGCTTTTTTTAGTGTTTTCAATGTCCAAGGCACAACTCTCTTTTTTCCATGTAGTCAAAAAAAAAAATCCTCTCTTTTGATCCTTAAAAAAATATTTTTTTTTTTAATTTTATTTTTTAAAAATTTTTATTAATTCCTAATTTTTTTGTAATATCCCATTTTTTTCCTGGGCAATTAGGTTGTGCTGCCGATCAATTCCGTTGCCGCAACGGTGATTGCATTCCCAGCTATTATCACTGCAATGGCCATCGTGAGTGCTTGGACAATTCGGATGAGGAAGATTGTGCCGATCCCGTGGCACCGCCCAGCCGTTGCTTGCCATCCCAATATCGTTGCGATAATGGCCAGTGCATTTCGGCCTATGCCCGCTGCAATGGTTATGTCGATTGTGCCGATAGCTCGGATGAAAGATATTGTCGTAAGTAGCTAAAATTTTTTTTATAATTTTTTAAAATTTTGAAAAATATTTTTTAAAAAAAAATTTTTTTTTAAAAATTTTTTTAAAAAAATTTTTTAAAAAAAAAAATTTTTTTCAAAAAAAATTTTTTAAAAAAAAAAATTTTTTTTGAAAAAAAAAAATTTTAAAAAAATTTTTTTAAAAAAAATTTTTTTTTCAAAAAATATTCTTTTAAAAAAATTAAAATTTGTTTATTTTTTCAAAAAAAAAATATTTATTTTCTTTCAAAAAAATATGATTTTCAAAAAAAAAATATATTTTTATACCCTTCACCACACTGAGGTACAGGGTATTATGTCTTTGTGCATATGTTTGTGAACGGGCAAAAGGAAACGAGATGGACACATCGTTCCTTTTGAGAATATGCATAGAATCACTTTCTGAGTCGATTTATGCATGTCCGTCAGTCCGTCCGTCCGTCTGTAGATGTTAAATTGTAAACAAAGTACAGGTCGCGTTTATGATCCGATTTGGATGAAATTTGGCACAAGTCACTTATTTGGCCCAAGGACGAACCCTATTGAAATTCAAGAAAATCGGTTCAGATTTAGATATAGCTCCCATATATAGTTTTGTCCGATACAGCCACCCTATATATATCTTTCGATTTGCACGAAATTTGGCACAGAGTACTGAATTAGGTTCAGAATGATGTGTGTTAAGTTTCGTGATAATCGGTTCAGATTTAAATATAGCTCCTATATATATTTTCGACCGATTTAAGGTACATTGGGCTCCAAAGTCCCTATATATCTTTCGATTTGCACGAAATTTGGCATATCGTATTGAATTAGGCCTAGCATGATGTGTGCCAAGTTTCGAGAAAATCGGTTCAGATTTAGATATAGCTCCCATATATATTTTCGACCGATTTAAGGTAAATGGGGCACCAAAGTCCCCATATATCTTTCGATTTGCACGAAATTTGGCATATCGTACTGAATTAGGCCTAGAATGATGTGTGCCAAGTTTCGAGAAAATCGGTTCAGATTTAGATATAGCTGCCATATATATTATCGTCCGATTTAAGGTAAATGGGACACCAAAGTCGCTATATATCTTTCGATATGCACGAAATTTGGCATATCGTACTGAATTAGGCCTAGAATGATGTGTGCCAAGTTTCGAGAAAATCGGTTCAGATTTAGATATAGCTCCCATATATATTTTCCTTCGATTTAAGGTACATTGGGCTCCAAAGTCCCTATATATCTTTCGATTTGCACGAAATTTTGCATAGCGTACTGAATTAGGTCCAGAATGATGTTTGTCAAGTTTCGGGAAAATCGGATCAGATTTAGATATAGCACCCATATATATTTTCGTCCGATTTAAGGTAAATGGGGCACCAAAATCCCTATATATCTTTCGATTTGCACGAAATTTGGCACAGAGTACTGAATTAGGTTCAGAATGATGTGTGCCAAGTTTCGTGAAAATCGGTTCAGATTTATATATAACACCCACATATATTTTCGTCCGATTTAAGGTAAATAGGGCACCAAAGTCCCTATATATCTTTCGATTTGGACGAAATTTGGCATAGCCTACTGAATTAGGTCCAGAATGATGTGTGTTAAGTTTCGTGAAAATCGGTTCAGATTTAAATATAGCTCCCATTTATAGTTTTGTCCGATTTAAGGTACATTGGGCTCCAAAGTCCCTATATATCTTTCGATTTGCACGAAATTTGGCATAGCGTACTGAATTAGGTCCAGAATGATGTGTGTCAAGTTTCGAGAAAATCGGATCAGATTTATTTATATAGCACCCATATATATTTTCCTCCGATTTAAGGTAAATAGGGCACCTAACAGACGTCGCCTTTTCGAAAGATACATATGTAGGTTACATATGTAGAATATCTTCAAAGTGGTGAAGGGTATCATATATAGTCGGCCCAGTCCGACTTTACTCCATTCCTCACTGGTTTTAATTACTTTTTTCCATCATCATTTTCCATCTGTGTATATGTGTGTGTGTGTGTTTGTATGTCATTGCTATGTTATGAAAAAAATTAAGGCTTTAATCTTATCGATTTCTACATGAAAGGATCGCCAAGTCAATTTAATAGCCGTGGCCCATGTGGCCCCAATATGTATCGTTGCGAAAATGGTCCATGCATTGAGGCATCGTTGCGTTGCAATGGCAATGTCGATTGTCCTCTCGATACCAGCGATGAGCTAGATTGTCCAGGCATGGATAATGAAATAGATAGTAAGTCATGTGATGGCTCAAAATTTCGATTCCTGGGTGTAGGTGTGTGTAATTTGGCACTGGAGAGTGGGTTAGACGGTGGCACACAAAAAAATAATACAAAAACTTAAAAATTCACTGGGGAAAAAATTACTTTCACCCCACCATCCCAAAATAGTGCACCAAAGAAAAAAACTAACAATTTTAGAAAAAAAAATTCTCAAAAAAAAAAAACTTTGGAAATTAAAAAAATTCAAAATTTCAAAAAAAAAATGTTAGAAAATTGCCAACAATTTTTTTTGAAAATTTCCAAAAATCTCTTCAAAAAATTGGAAATTAAAAAAAAAAATTCAAAATTTCAAAAAATGTTAGAAAATTGCCAAAAAATTTTTAGAAAATTTCCAAAAGTTCCAAAAAATTATTTTTTATAAAATTTAAAAAAAAAATCCAACAAAATATTTTCAAAAAAATTACAAAAAATTGAAAATTAAAAAAAAACAAACAAATATTTTTTTTATAAAATTTAAAAAAAAATATATTAATTTTTTTAATTAACGACTTATTAAAAAATCTTAAAAATTATTTCAGAAAATTTATTTCAAATACTTGTCACAGTTATTATTTTATTTGCACCATAATTTGTTCATAACATACCATTAATATTATTAAAAATTATTATTATTTTTTTTTTAATTTTTTATAACAAAAATTTGAATTTTTGAAATTTACCCTAATTTTTTTATTATTTTTTCACAGCCGATACCAACACCACTCCTGCTCCTCAATTGAATCTGAAGACCTATCCCGATAATCAAATCATCAAAGAAAGTAAGTATTGTATTTTTTTATTTTATAAAAAAAATTATTTTATTTTATAAAAAAATTTGTATTATTTTTTTCAAAAAAAAATTATTATTTTTTTTTTTTAAAAAAAATTTTAAAAATATATTTTTTGAAAAAATTCTTTAAAATTTTTTAAAAATTTTTTTTTTATTAAAATTAATTTTTTTATTAAAATTAATTTTTTTATTAAAATTAATTTTTTTATTAAAATTAATTTTTTTTTTATAAAAATTAATTTATATTAAAACCAATTTCTCCCTTCTCTCTTTTTACCCAATAACAAAAAATTAAAAAAAAAAAAATCTCAAATGCTTACCAAAAAAATAACAAATGGGCTATAATTAAAAAAAAATATTAATTAATTAAAAAATAATAAAAAACAGGATATATCAGGGAGGGTAAGTTCTAATGGTCATACACAATACACCCACACAAACCAATGATATATCTATACACCAACAACAATATATATATGTACATGTGTACAGCACTGCAAGCAAAAAACTATGAGCATTTGAAATTTCTTAAGAGAAAATATTTAAAATATATAAAAAATTGGTAAAAAATATATATTAAAAAATTTGTAAATATAGTAAAATATGTATACAAAAATATTTCAATATTATAAATCTATAAAAATATTCCAAAAATTAAGAAAAAAAAAATATTAGGAAATACTCTCCAAAAAATTTATGATAGTCTTTCCTAATGAGTTATTCCATTTACGGACCCAAAACTCCCTTACGATGACCTCTTAGAGGGTTAATATATTCTACAAAATTGTCGGTCATAAAATTCTCAACAACATTCCGAACCATAATATGCTTCTAAAATGTAAGGATGAAGAGTTATAGCTCTTCACATCTTTAGAAAGACTTAAAAAATATATATTTTCTCATGAAGTTATTTCAGTAAATGTCCGAAAAGACCCTCAAAATGAGCTCATAGAGGGTTAATATATTCCACAAAAATGTTCGTCACAAAATTCTCAACAACATTTCGAACCATAATATATCTCTAAAATGTAAGGATAAGGAGTAGTAGCTCTTCACATCAATGGGACGGCTTTCTAAAATATAGATAATTTTTCTCCTGGAGTTATTTCGATAAATGCCAAAAAAGACTCATAAAATGAGTTCTTAGAGGGTTAATTTATTCTACAAATTTGTCGGCCATAAAATTTTCAACAACAGTCCGAACCATAATATGTTTCTAAAATGTAAGGATAAGGAGTAGTAGCTCTTCACATCAATGGGACGGCTTTATAAAATTTAGATAATTTTTCTCATGAAGTTATTTTAATTAATAGCCCGAAAGACCCTAAAAATGAGCTCTTAGAGGGTTAATATATTCCATAAAAATCTTCACTATAAAATTCTCAACAACATTCCGAACCATAATATATTTCTAAAATGTAAAGATAAAAAGTTATTGCTCTTCACATCATAAGGAGGGTTTTAATGAATTTCAGTCATTATATCCCAATGAGTTATTTTGATAGATGGCCCAAAATACCCTCAAAATGACCTCTTAGGTGATTAATATATTCGACAGACTTGGTCATCACAAAATTCTGAACAAATTTCCTAACCATAGTATATTGCTAAAATGTAAGGATAATGAGTTATTGTCCTGGCCCGCAACATCAAATTGATATAGGCGAGAATAATGGCTTTTCTCAAAAAACGACCATAAAGTGATCTATAATCAGATTTTATAGATTAAATATGTTCCTGAAAATTGTTCACACACATGTCCTGAGTACTTTTCTCTAAGACATCACCAACCTAAAATTGAAAAATCACCTGGAATAGTCGATGATTCGCCTTACGCAAAAAGTAACAAAAATTGGAAATTTTACATTTTTCAAAAATTAAACAAAAATCTCACTTGAGGGTTAATATATTCCACAGAATTGGTCGTCACAAAATCCTCAACAACATTCCGGACCATAATGTGTTTCTAAAATGTAAGGATAATGAGTTATTAACCTGGATCCTAACAACGAATTTATATATGCGAGAATAAAGGCCTCTCGTAACAATCGAATATAAAGTAGTCTACAATGAGGTTTTAGAGGCTAAATATATTCGGAAAAATTGTTCGTATATCTGTCCTTAGTATTTTCTCCTAACACAACACCAACCTAAAATTAAAAAATCACCTGGAATAGTCGATGATTCGCTATACACAAAAAATTAAAAAATGGGACATTTTACTTACTTTCAAAAATATAACAAAATTCTCAATATATATATCTCGTATACTTCGAAATTGTTTGAAAACGATGTTCCCTACAACATTCTGAGTATTATTCTCGAATATACCCAAGCCCTTAGATGAATGGATCACGGGGAATCATCGATCGCACCTAATTTTAAAATGAACAAAAAGAGGAAAATGCCCATTTTTTGAGAAACGACCAAAAATACCTTGTGCATACATTTTACACCTTCGATGTATTTGAGAACATTGTTCCTTATAATAATCCGAACATTTTTTTCCAAACACATCGATAGCCCATCTTTAATGGTTAACCGAATATCAGTGATGCTTCATTACCTTAAAGTAATAACATAACCATATTTTTGCATTTTTGCAAATCTACCAATAATCCGCATTCGCTAAATTCCTAGAGGGTTACTATGTTCCGCAAAAATGTTCCCTAGAATATTTGGAATATTTTTTCCAAACACATCGTATACCTAAAATCAAAGGATCATAAGATATTGTCCTGCCGCGCAGCGTTTTAAGCAAATATAACACTGTTTACCTCTTCTTTCAAAATTCGACCTAAAAGTGCCCTATAACGACCAGTTACTCCATCAAGATGTTTGACAACAATATTCCCTATTGCCTTTTAAATATTTTTCCCGAACATATCCAAGCTCTCAGATGCAAGGATCAACGGGAATCATCAGTCGCATCATATACTACAATTTTCATAAAGGAGAAAATTGTAATTTTTCAAGATCCAACCCGAAAATACCTTTTGCATAGTTTTTAGCCGCTCAGTGTATTTGGGAACTATGTTCCCTAGATTATTGCGAATATTTTTTTCTACAATATGTATACCCTAGCATGAAAGGATCAGCGGATATCACTGATGCTTCGTAATCTTAAATTTGTAACTTTGCCCAAATTTTGCGTTTATAAAAATCGAGGAAAATGAAGCATTTAATCACCTCTTAGAGGTGTTCTATGGTTAGAGAACATGTTCTCCATAATATTTAGAGCATATTTCCCAAATATATTATATGCCTAAAATCAAAGAATCCCGAGGTATGATCCTGTCTCGCAGCGTCTTAACAAAATGTGGTTAATGAGAGGTATTTTTTTAATATTTAGCCTAGAAGTGGGCTTTAATGACCCGATAGGGCTTCGAAATGTTTGAGAACAAAAATCCACATAATATTCTGAGCATTTTTTCCGAATATAGTATGAAGCTAAAATTTAAGGGTTCCGAGAAATCATCGCTGCTCCGCCTACGCAAAAAGTACCAAATATCTGCTCTTTGTAATGATGTTATTTCTTTATGTAAATATTTGTTTATATATAATATATAATTTATATAAAAAATATTATTATATAGGAACGTTTAAATACCACCTAAAAATTAAGTTATATTATGTAAATACACCGAAAGAAATTTTGTAAAAAAATATTTTATTGCCTGGAATGATTTTGAAAAATTAATTTTAATTTTTCAAAAAATGCAAATAAATTTTGTTTACCCCCAACCCCTATTCCAGGACGCGAAGTCATTTTCCGTTGCCGTGATGAAGGTATGTTACGCGCCAAGGTTAGATGGACCCGTCCCGGTGGCCGTCCCTTGCCCGTCGGAGCCGTTGACAAAGATGGCCGTTTGGAAATTCCCAATATTCGTGTTGAAGATGGTGGTACCTACATTTGCGAAGCTGTTGGCTATCCTCGCCATGTTTCCGGACAACAAGTCTCTGTACAATTGACCGTTGAAAAATGTAAGTATAAATCGTAAATTAGGGGACATTTTTTGTAATTTTTTCAAGATTTTTGGGAGGGTTTTTTGTTGTAAAAAAAATTGTTTGTATATTTAACAAAATATATATTTTGCGCCTGCATGCAGCTTGGGGATCCAATAAATATTTTGTACCTTCAACAAAAATTAAATATGGCACAGTGCCGCACATAGACATGGAATTTTTTGGATTAGGTAATATAAAACAACAACAACAAAAATATTAAAAAAATTAAAATCTATACCCACCAAACATCGATTGAATCCATGATCTGTAGTTGATAAAAATTTAGTAAAAAATTTCCAAACCATTTCTCTCTACTTCTTTTTCCTCTATTAAATGCTTTTCCGTAATTTGGGAAAAAAAATTCTGATGCTATGGTAAATACTTAGTTTCCCCATAATTATTTTAGAATACTATAGAGCATCCCAGCTAATCTCACCCTTAAACAGATACAATTAATTAATATTCTCTTTTTTTGCCGCCCCTCCCTCTCCAATCTAGACAATCCACGTGATGATCGTTTACCCTCAGCTTGTTCCGCTACACAAGCTACCTGCATGAACGGTGAATGTATTGATAAGTCGCAAATTTGTGATGGTATCCCCCATTGTTCGGATGGTTCCGATGAGCATAGCTGTTCCCAGGGCCGCAAATGTCAACCCAATCAATTTATGTGCCGCAATTCCAAGTGTGTTGATCGTGTCTGGCGTTGTGATGGTGAAAATGATTGTGGTGATAATTCCGATGAAGAAAGTTGCGATCCCGAACCAAGTGGCGCTCCCTGCCGTTATGATGAATTCCAATGTCGCAGTGGCCATTGCATTCCCAAATCCTTCCAGTGTGACGATACCAATGATTGCCGTGATGGTTCTGATGAAATCGGTTGCAGTAAGTATTACAAGATAAAAAATAGTATATTAACAAAATCCACCAAAAGTCCCGTACGATGAGCCTTTAGAGCTTCAATATGTTCTAAGAAAATATTCCCCATAGTCCCCAGAGTAATTTCTCCAAACACATTGCTTATCTAAAATTGAAGGATCCATGAGAAATCCTGCTCAGAAAAATGACAAAACTCACGAAACTGGTAAATTTTGATTTTCTACAAAATAGGGCCTAAAGAGCCATACTATGAACCTCTAGAGGTTCAATATGTTATACAAAAATATTCCCCGAGGACCCCTGAGCAATTTATCGCAGGACATCCCTTATCTAAAATTTAAGGATCGAATAGAAATCCTGATCGGAAAAATTACCAAACTCTCGAACTTTGAAAAAATTTAATTTTCACAAAAAATTACCTAAAAGCCCCATAAAATGAACCTCTAGAGGTTTACTATGTTCTACAAAAATATTCCACATAGACTACTGAACAATTTATCCAAACACACCCATCATATAAAATTTAAGGATCCCTTAGAAATCCTGCTCAGAAGAATGACACAATGCACGAACATGGCAAATATCGAGTTACTACAAAATGGGACCCAAAAGACCCATAGTATGAACCTCTAGAGGTTTACTATGCTCTACAAAAATATTCCCCAGAGACCCCTGAACAATTTATGCCAGCACATTCCTTGTGTGAAATTTAAGGATCCTTTAGAAATCCTGATCGGGTAAATGACTATACCCTCGAAAAAGTAAAATATCGATATTCTTCAAAAAGGGACCTAAAAGTCGCATACCATGAGGCGTTAGAGGGTTAATATATTCCACAAACTTCTTCTTCAAAACATTTCCGACAATACTTCCGAAAATATCATATAGCTAAAACTTAGGGATCCATTAGAATTTCCGATCAGATAAATGATTACTTCGAATATTAAAAAAAAATAGTCTATTTACACAAATCCGACAAAAGTACCCTACAATGGGCCTCTAGAGGTTTGATATGTTCAACAAAAATATTCCCCCTTGACACCTGAACAATTTATCCAAACACATCCATCATGTAAAATTTAAGGATCCATTACAAATTCTGATCGGGTAAATGACGAGACCATCGAAAATGGCAAATATAGCATTTCTCCACAAAATGGCCTTAAAGTCCCATACCATGAGCCGTTAGAGGGTTAAAATGTCCTACAAAAATATTCCCCACTACCTCGCCATCAATATTTCCAACAACATCATATAGCTAAAACATAGGGATCCATTTAAAATCCCGATCAGATACATGATAAACTCTCGAAAATGCCAAAAATTGCCTTTTTTCAAAAAATGACCTAAAAGTCACATACCATGACCCCTTAGACGGTTAAAATATTCTACGAAATTTCTCCTCACAACATTTCCGACAATATTTCCCACAACATCCTATAGCTAAAACTTAAGGTTCAGAAGGAATCGCTTGTCCCCGCCACGTTTAAATGAAATTAAGCAAATTTGAAGACATTTTTCAAAAATCGGTCATAAAATACCCTATAATGGATAGCTAGAACCTCGAAATGTTCGAGAACAACATTCCCTTTAATATTCTGAATATTTTTCTAGAACATATCATAACACCAACATTTCAGGATTCAGAGAAATCATCGATGATTCCGAAAAAAAAGACACCAAATATTGGCCTTTTTTCAAAATCCGACATAAAGACCCACATAATGTAAATTTAGGGGCTTAAAATATTCTACAAAAATATTCAGGGCTATATGCCACACAAAATTCTCATCCACATCGTGTACGTAAAACGAAAGGATCTGCAGTAAACATCTGTCGTTTTAATGTTAATCTCTCACTTAATCTATGTGTGAATTGTTCTAATATTTCTTTTTTGTATTAATTTACAGTGGCTCCCGACAAGATCCGTGATCCACCACCAACTCAATTCCTCCACCAGGGCGACTCGTTGAACTTGACCTGTGTCGGTGTTGGTACCCCAACTCCTGTTATTGTCTGGCGTTTGAATTGGGGTCATGTCCCCGAGAAGTGTGTCTCGAAGAGTTACAGCGGTACCGGCACCCTCTATTGTCCCGATATGCAGTATGCCGATAGCGGTGCTTACTCCTGTGAAATTATCAACTCGAAGGGTAGCAAATTCACCACCGACACCTTGGTAACTGTTGAAAAACCTGAACGTCCTGGCGTCTGCCTTAGCGGCACTTTCAACGAAGAGGCCGAACACCCCAATGAATGTTTGAATTGCTTCTGTTTCGGTATTGCCAAGACCTGTAAGTCCAGCGATATGTTTATCAACACCATCCAGCCTCCGATCACCTCTCACCGCGTTGTCAACGTCGAATTGAGCCCCTACAGTAATATTGTCATCAATGAAGCCCCCACCTCGGGTATTATGAACTTGAGACATGGTGTACAGTTCCGTGCCACCGATGTGTTGTATGGCAGCCGTAGCACTCCCTACTTGGCCCTGCCCCAGGACTTTATGGGCAATCAGTTGAAATCGTATGGCGGTTACTTGAAATATGATGTGCGTTATGATGGCACCGGTACCCCTACCCGTCATCCTGATGTTATTTTGACTGGCAATGGCTTTACCTTGACCTATCGTTCCCGCTCTCCCGCCCAACCCAGCTTTGTCAATCACATGGAAGTGCCATTTGTACCCGGTGGTTGGACTAAGCCTGATGGTCGTATGGCCACCCGTGAAGAGATCATGATGATCCTGTCGAATGTCGACAATGTTTTGGTACGTTTGGGCTATATCGAAGCCACGGAGAGGGAAGTTGAACTGACCAATATTATGATGACCTCGGCTGGACCCCATGACCAAGGTCTGGGCAAGGCTAACCTCGTGGAGAAATGTGCCTGCCCCGTGGGTTATACTGGCGATTCGTGTGAGACCTGTGCCCCTGGTTATGTTCGTCAATCCGGCGGTGGCTGGTTGGGTCGTTGTGTACCCTTCACCCCCGAGCCATGCCCTGAGGGCACCTACGGTGATCCCCGACGTGGTATTCCTTGCCGTGAATGTCCCTGCCCCCAGACTGGTGCCAATAGCTTTGCCTCCGGCTGTTCCATGGGCCCTGACGGTGAAGTCACCTGCCGCTGCAATGAAGGCTATATGGGCCGCCGTTGTGAGACCTGTGCCCCTGGCTATGAAGGCAATCCCTTGGCTCCTAATGGCCGTTGCTATCCCACTCCCGATCACAACTGCAATGCCGAAGGTACCTACTCCATCCACGACAACAAGACCTGTGAATGTAAATCCCTGGTAAGCGGTGAACGTTGTGACACCTGCAAGACCGGATCCTATCACTTGAACTCCTTCACCTACACCGGCTGTATTGAGTGCTTCTGCAGCGGTTTGCCCGTTAGCTGTGGCAGCAGTACCATGAATCGTGAACAGATCAGCTCGACCTTTGGCCGTTCCCGCGCCCCACATGGCTTCAGTTTGGTACGTCACTACAACACGGAACCATCACCGGTGGCCTTTGGCGAACGTGACAGTGCTTTGGTCTTCAGCGAACCCTCGACCTCGGAACCCTTATACTGGAGCTTGCCCCCACAATTCTTGGGTAATCAAATCACAGCCTATGGCGGTAAATTGAGTTACAATTTGAGCTACAACCCCATGCCTGGTGGTCTGATGTCCCGCAGTACCTCTCCCGATGTGGTGATCAAGTCGGGCGAAGATTTGACCCTGATCCATTACCGCAAGGGTGGCTTCAATCCCAACCAACCCAACTCCTATTCCATTCCCATGATCGAAAGCTCTTGGCATAGGTCCGATGGCCAACCTGCTGATAGGCCCCATTTGCTGATGGCCCTTTCCAAGATCGATGCCATCTACATTAAGGCCACCTACACCACCAGCACCCGTGACGGTGCCCTGACCTCGGTTACCATGGACGTGGCCTCGCCCAGCAGCACCAGCGGTGTACCCGCCTATGAGGTGGAGGAATGCCGTTGCCCACCCGGTTATGTTGGTACCTCCTGCGAACGTTGCGCCCCTGGCTACAAACGCAACGAGGAGGCCGGTCTCTACTTGGGATTGTGCGAACCCTGTGAATGTAACGGCCACTCGTCGCAGTGTGACCCCGAGTCGGGTGTCTGCCTGAACTGTGCCGACAACACTGAAGGTGATTCCTGTGAACGTTGTGCCTATGGCTACTCCGGAGATGCCACAAATGGCACACCCTATGATTGCCAGCCCGGCCAAGGCCCAGGACCCGTCGTGCCAACCAGACCACCATCACCACCACCTCAGCCCACCAACAACGAAACCTGCTACCACTGCAATCAGGCCGGTACCGCATCCTGCTACGGTGACTACTGCTACTGCAAGACCAATGTCCAGGGTTCGCGTTGTGATCAATGCCGTCCCGGAACCTATGGCCTTTCCGCCAACAATCCCGATGGTTGTGAGGAATGTTTCTGCTCGGGCAAATCGACCACCTGCTCCTCAGCTTCGCTCTATCGCCAACTGATCCCTGTCGACTTCCTTGGCAGTCCACCACTGCTCACCGATGAGGAGGGCATGATCGTCGACACCGAGAACATGAACTTCGATATCGAAAGAAACGAATACACCTATTCGTACCCCTCGTACACACCGAAATACTGGAGTTTGCGTGGCTCGGTCTTGGGCAACCAACTGTACTCCTATGGCGGCGTCCTGACCTACAAGCTCGAGGTCGATTCCTATGGCAACTATGAACAGGGCCATGATGTCGTCCTCATTGGCAATGGCATGAAATTGATCTGGTCCCGCCCCTCGTCCGAACAGGACAACATCGAATACACCATACGCCTGCATGAAGATGAAAACTGGCAGACCCTGCAACGTGGTGGCATGCAACGTGCCTCTCGCACCGATTTCATGAATGTCCTCTCGAATTTGGAACACATTTTGATTAGGGCCACACCGAAAATACCCACCACACGCTCGTCGATCAGTGATGTGATTTTGGAGAGTGCCGTCGAAAGACCCCAACCCGGAGCCAGCCAAGCCATTGATATTGAAATCTGCAACTGCCCACCAGAATATTCCGGTTCGTCATGTGAAAGCTGTGCCCCTCTGCATTACCGTTACAGCGATGGCACATGCAGACGTTGCCCCTGTCAGGATGAGAACACCCAATCGTGTAGCTTGGATGAGCGTAGCTATGTCAAGTGTCAGTGTAGACCAGGTTATGGCGGTGATCGTTGTCAAAATAATGGTAAGTCGGAATGTGGGGAATGGGGGGGTTCGAAGTGAGGTGATCACGACATTATTCTCTATTGCTTTTTTTTGGCATGATTCATATACCATTTTATTTTTCCTTTTTCTATTTTTTTTTTATTTTGGAGAATGCTTTTGAAAAGAAAAACAACAACAAAAATTATGATTTAAAAAAAGTAAAATGAGAGAAAGAGAGAGAGAGAAAGATAAAAAGAGAGAGAGGAGTTAAAAAAGGAAGGAGAAAGCAAACCAGCAAACCAAATCCAGCAAATGGAAATAATTAAAAATAAAAATATTTTAAATTTCAAAAAAAAATTGATTTTTTGAAAAAAAAATCGGATGTTCGAAAATTCGGATTTTTGAAAATTCGAAGATCACTAGAAAATACTTAAAAGCAAAAAATTGCAATAACATTCAATTATATATCATATTAGAAGCTTTTTATAGAGTTGTTGTAAATTTTTTTGGAAAAAATTGCATGTTCGAATTTTCGAAGATAAATTAAAACCCCCGTAAAACCCAAAAATATTTAACAAAATTGCATCTAACATCATATTAATAGGTATAGGCGAAATTTCTGCAAGTTTTTGGACATTTTTTTTCATGTTCGAAAATTCGAAGATAGCTAAAACTTACCAAAATATAATTTTTTGAGAGAAATTATGATATTTAAGCCTCAGAACAATTATTTCCCTTAATTTTTAATCATTTTGGGTTAATTTTTTCATGTTCGAAATTTCGAACATCACCAAGAAAGTATTAAATATGTAAAATTTTGCATAATTTTTGGTATTTAAATATTAGGGGATACTTTAATAAAATTTTTGAGGCATTTTGAACATGTTTTGTCATGTTCGAATTTTCGAACATGGTCAAAAAATTCCAAATTGAGCTTGGTTATTGCTACTTTAATATTAGGGAATATTTTTAGGACATTTTTGAGAAATTTTGCAAATTTTTTGACATGTTCGAATTTTCAAACATCGACAAAACATTGAAAATACATCAAAATTTGATCAAATAATTGCTATTTTAATATTAGGGGATATTTTTATAACATTTTTGAGGCATTCTGAACTAATTTTGTCATGTTCGAATTTTCGAATATAGCCAAAAATTTCAAATTTTGCATAGTTATTGCTATTTAAGCGTGAGGAAATATATTTTTACATGTTTTAAGTACTTTTAAACCATATTTTGTAATGTTCGAATTTTCGAACATGGCCAAAAATTTGTGAAATCTTTGATATATGCTACTTTTATTCAAACTCAAAAATTTAGAAGCATTTCTATAAAGTTTTTGAGCAATTTGAATCCTTTTTTTCATGTTCGAATTTTCGAACATGGCCAAAAAATACGTTAACTTCCAAATTTTACAAAATTATTGTTAATTAAATATTAGGGAATATATTTATAACGTTTTTGTGTAATTTAAAACATATTTTGTCATGTTCGAATTTTCGAACATCACCAAAAAATTGTGAAATCTTTGAAATTTGCCATTTTTAATTCATATTCAAACATTTGGCAACATTTCTATAATGCTTTGGAGCAATTAAAGCCCTATTTTTTCATGTTCGAATTTTCGAACATGGCCAAATAATTACGTTAACTTACAAATTTTAAAAAATTATTGTTAATTAAATATAAGGGAATATATTTATAAAATTTTTGTGTAATCTAAAACATATTTGTCATGTTCGAATTTTCGAACATGGACAAAAAATCACGAAAACTGCCAAATTTTGCATAATTATTGCTATTTAAGCGTGAGGGAATATATTTTTACATGTTTTAAGTACTTTTAAACCATATTTTGTAATGTTCGAAATTTCGAACATTGTCAAAAATTTGATAAATCTTTGAAATATGCAATTTTTATTCAAATTCCAACATTTGGAAACATTTCTATAAAGTTTTTAAGCTATTTAAACCTTTTTTTCTAATGTTCGAATTTTCGAACATGGCCAAAAAATTACACAAACTTAAAAATTTTAAAAAAATTATTGTTAATTAAATATTAGGGAATATATTTATACCATTTTTGAAAAAAATTGGAAAAATTTGAAATTTTGTACAAATTTTTGCTATTTAAATTTTCTGGAATATTTTTATAAAATTTTTGAAATTTTTTAATATTTTCGAACATAAAAAAATTTTGCTATTTAAACATTATGGAATATTTTTATAAAATTTTCGAAAAATTTTAAACATGTTTTGTTATGTTCGAATTTTTGAACATTGCCAAAAAATTGTGAGAAATTAAAAATTTTGCATAATTATTGCTATTTAATTATTAGCGATTATTTTTATAACATTTTTGAGAAATTTGGAACATGTTTTGTTATGTTCGAATTTTCGAACATCGGCAAAAAATTGCGATAAATTAAAAATTTTGCAGAATTTTGGCTATTTAATTAATAGGAAAAATTTTGATAGCAGTTTTAAGAAATTTTAAACATGTTTTATCATGTTCGAATTTTCGAACATGGCCAAAATGTTGTGAAAATGTTCAAGTTTTGCATAATTATTGTTAAGTAAATATTAGGGAATATTTTTATAACATTTTTGAGAAATTTTGAACATATTTTGTCATGTTCGAATTTTCGAACATGGCCAAAAAATTACGAAATCTTCAAAATTTTGCTTAATTATTGCTATTTTAATATTAGGAAACATTTTTATAACATTTTTGAGAAATTTTGAGCATGTTTTGTCATGTTCGAAATTTCGAAAATCGGTAAAAAATTGCAAAAAATATTGCTATTTAAATATTAGGGAACATTTTTATAGTATTTTCCAGAATGTATAGCATGCTTGATCGTGTTCGAAAATCTCTCTCTCTTTCTCTATCACATTTAAAAAATAATTATTTCTCCACTCATGTTTTTTCATAATGAAAAAAAGACCAAACAAACAACAAATCTATAACTCTACAACACTATAGCCTACACAACAACAACAACTACTATTATTATTATTAAATTTAATTATATTCAAAAAAAAATTTAAAAATCGAAAAATGTATTGTTTTTGTTATTTTAAAAAATATATATCCCAATTTTATATAACAACCGAAAAAAAAATTAATTCTACTGTGTACAGTGCCCCTGAATAAAACGGAAAAGCAATGCGACCTAGCCAGAGGATTCTGTTGTAGTGGCTTTCAATTTAATATTGAACTCAATCAGACCATCTCACCCAATGAGACCCTATTGATATACAGAGGCAAACAGTACGTAGGAAATATGACCAACTTGTTTTATGGCTGTAAAGGTTCGCAATATTTCCAATTCAAATTCTTTTTATAAAAAAAATAAAAATTTTAATTAAAAATTTAATTAAATTTTATTCTAATTAGATTAGTTAGTTAGTTTGTTTAGTTAAACCAACAACAACAACAAAAATGTTTAACCTCTATTACGAAGTGTGGGTTCTTTGTTTTTGTTTTTTATCGAAAAAAATATGCGGATTTCTATTACAAATCTAGTTGTGTTACTATTTGTGTACATTTTTTGTAGTGTAAAAAATTTATTAAAAAAAAATTAATAATTATTTATATATATAATATATATAGATTAGTACAGTAATTTTGTATTGTGCGGCATACTACCCTTACATACACATACAAACAAACATACATATGTCTATTGAAAATAAAAACAACCTCCCCCTTGTGTTTTATGTCTGTCCTCTCAACAAAAACAGCAACAACTAAAAAGAGTACATAATTTCCACATTTAAAAAAATCATAAAAATTTTATAAAAAAAAATTTTGTATTATAAAAAAAAATTAGTAAAAAAAATTGTGTAAAATTTTTTAAAAAAAAATTTCTAAAAATTTTTTAGAAAAATTTCTAAAATTTTTTTTTTAAATTTCTAAAATTTTTTTTAAAAATATTCTAAAAAATTTCTAAATTTTTTTTAAAAAAAATTTAAAAAAATTCTAAAATTTTTTTTAAAAAAATTCTAAAAAATTTCTAAAAAATTTTTTTAAAAAAATTTCTAAAATTTTTTTAAAAAAATTTTTTTAAAAAAATTTCAAAAGTTTTTTTTTCGAAATTCTTAAAAGAAAAAAAATTTCTAAAGTTTTTTTTTAAAAAAAATTTCTAAAATTTTTTTTAAAAATATTCTAAAAAAATTCTAAAATTTTTTTTACAAAAAATTCTAAAATTTTTTTTAAAAAATAAAAAATTTCTAAACTTTTTTTTAAAAATATTTTTAAAAAATTTTTTTTTAAAAAAATTCTAAATTTTTTTTAAAAAAAATTTCTAAAATTTTTTTTTTTAAAAAATTTCTAAATTTTTTTTAAAAAAAAATTCTGTGTATAAAGTACCAAAAAAAAAATATTATGTGGGACCTCCTTAGTTTAACCCCAGCTGAGCTTTGTGTTTTCTGTTTTATTTTATTTTTTTATATAATTTTTTAGACAACCCAGCAAACAATTTTAACCCTAAATTGTAATTTTTTTTCAAAAAAAAAAATCTGTACAAAAAATTTTGTTTGGTATCCTTGGACCAGGATCAAACAAAAACAAAAATACTAACCAAAATTTGTTACCAACAACAACTATACATATTTATGTACAAAACGACAAACTAGTAGTTTTTGTTGTAGTTAGACCAAAACCAAAAAAAAATACCCATCATACAAAAATACTTCTTCTTCATTTGAAAAAAAAACAACTCATCATTGTCACTAACCTTAGAATTTGTTTTGAAAAAAAATTAAAAAAATATATTTTTTTTTCAACACCCAACTAATCTCAAAATATTTTTATTCTCACATATAGATTATGAGTCTGAACCCCAGGTCACTACCACTCCCACACCCGAACCAGAATACAAAACACGCATAACCGTATCGATCCAGAAACCAGAAATTTCCATTATCCCCGTTGGAGGATCCATAACATTGTCGTGTAGCGGCATGTTGGAATACAATAGGGTAAGTCGACAAAAAAAAAACAAAACCAAACCAAAAAAAATGGAAAAAATTAAAAAAAAAATCAAAAAAAAATTTTTTTTAAATCTCAAAAAAATTTTTAATTTTTGAAAATTCCAACAAATTGTTTAAATTAAGAAAATACAACAGCAAAATACTTTTTTTTAATTTTTTCAAAAATTTTTAACTATTTTTTCGATGTTCGAATTTTTCGAACATTAATAAAATGACCTAAAATTACAAAATATCACCTCCAAATAATGTTACAACAAAAATTACATAGTTTTAACAAATGTTTTCGAACTTCGAATTAGTCGAACATAGCCAAAAAGTTATTATATTTCGAAATTTTCGAAGAAATATAAATTGATATTAAGAAAATATAACACCACCACCTTATTTGAAATAAATTTCTCAACATTTTTCAAAAAAAAAATAAAATTTTTTTCGATGTTCGAATTTTTCGAACATTAATAAAATGACCCAAAATTGCAATATATCACCTCCAAATAATATTACAATAAAATTATATAGTTTTTAGAAATTTTTGTGATGTTCGAATTTTTCGAACATTGCCAAAAAGTGACACAATTTCGAAATTTTTGAAAAAAATATCAATTGAAATTATGAAAATATAACACCACCACTTGACTAGAACTTTTTCAACATTTTTAATTTTTTTTCAAAATTTTTTATTTTTTTAAAATTTTGAATATTTTTAGATGTTCGAATTTTTCGAACATTAATAAAATGACATAAAATCACAACATATCACCTCCATATAATATTACAAAAACAATTATGTAGTTTTTGCAATTTTTTCGAACTTCGAATTTTTCGAACATTGCCAAAAAGTGATCAAATTTCGAAATTTTGAAAAAAATATCAATTGAAATTTAGGAAATACAACACAACCACATCAAAAAAAAACGTCTTTTGAATTTTTTTTTTTAATTTTTTCAAAAAAATTTTAAAATTTTTTGGATGTTCGAATTTTTCGAACATTAATAAAATGACAAAAAATCACAACATATCACCTCCGTATAATATTACAACAAAAATTATATAGTTTTTGCAATTTTTTGTGATGTTCGAATTTTTCGAACATTGCCAAAAAGTGATTAAAATTCGAAATTTTCGAAAAAAAAATATCAATTGAAATTAAGAAAATATAACACCGCCAATTTACTTGATTTTTTTCAAAAATTTTTAATTTTTTTTTCAAAAATTATAAAATATTTTCGATTTTCGAATTTTTTGAACATTAATTAAATGAACTAAAATTACTATATATCACCTCCAAATTATGTTACAACAAAAACACATAATTTTAGCAATTTTTTTCATGTTCGAATTTTTCGAACATTGCAAAATATTGCTAAAAATATAATATATCAGCTCAAAAATCTCTTGTATACTCATATAGAAACTTTAAAAATTATTTCAAAGAGTTTTTGGACAATTTTCACAATGTTCGAAAATTCGAATATACAAATTTTTAGGAATATTAATGGAATACAATTCTAAATTTTTTGTGTAAATCCTTATTAGTATGAAAACGGTAGTGAAAAAAATAAAAATAATTATTTTGGAACATTTTTCTGGCAATTTTTGCAATGTTCGAAAATTCGAACATTGATTCGAAATTCTTAAAAAGGCTAAAAAAATGTCTTGTATCACCATGGTACATTGATATAGAAGCTAAAAAAGGTATTTGAAAATGTGTGTGGGCAATTTTGATGAAGTTCGAAAATTCGAACATTCAAATATTTCGAATTTTTTCATGAAATTTAATGTAAACTCTTTATGAAATCATAATTTACATTAAAACCAAAAGTTATGTATATTATAAACAATATTTTTGACATGTTCCGAGATATTTTTTAAAAAATCGTATGTTCGAAAATTCGAAGATTGTTGCAACATTGTTAAAAATGCTAAAAAATGTATTAAAACAATGTAGTAGGTTCACACAGAAGCTAAAAAGGGAATTTTTAAGTGTTTATGGACATTTATTGCGATGTTCGAAAATTCGAAGTTTCAAAAATTTAGGAATATTTCTTGAAATTTTATGTAAATTCGTTATGAAAACATAATTTACCATAAAACTCATTTTATAAACAGTTTTTTAGATTTTTTTTAAAAATTTCGTATGTTCGAAAATTCGAAGATTGTTCCAAAATTTTTAAAAATGCTAAAAATTGCATTATATTAATATTGTGCTTTCATATAGAAGTAATATAACGAATTTCGAAGTTGTTTTTGATAAATTTTTGTTATGTTCGAAAATTCGAAGATTGTTAAATTGCCCAAAAAAAATAATGAAAATGATCCCGAAGTCAATATAAAAGCTATATAATGAATTTCGAAGGTTTTTGGACAATTTTGATTATGTTCGAAAATTCGAAGATTGTTAAAAAACCGCAAAAAATCAAAACAAAAAATATTTAGGACTAAATATTTGCACGAATTTAATTTTTTGCACATTTTATTGATTTCCGAATTTTTTTTTTTAATTTTAATTTTCAAAATTTCTTTATTTGATTTTTTCAAAATACTTGTTTTTAATTCCAGTTGCCCGTCGTTGTAAACTGGTATAAGTATAACGGTGATCTGCCCTTCCATTACGATCAAACCGATGGCGTTCTGCGATTGTTCGACTTGCAAATCCACGATTCCGGTACCTATATCTGTCAGGCCCGCCACAATCAAACTCAGCGCATTTACGAGGATCGGGTTACCATCACCATTACAGGTAAGGGGAAAAAACTGCCAGATTTTGGTTTTATAAAAATTAATATAAATATTGGAAATTTTGAAATGCTGCCTTTCAATAAAAAAGGATATGCCAAAGAGATGTTGGCCCGTTACGGTATGGAGTTTGAAATAATTAAATACCCCTACTAGATTAGCTAGAAAATATTTTGAATTGATTTCTGAATTGATTTTTAATTTCAATTTCTAAACTTCCAGAAACCTCTCGTCGCTCCCCAGCCCGCATTGACAACTTGGCTCCCTATCACACCTTTACCGAATTCGTACCCGCTGAAATCGCTTGCGAAGTAAGCGGTAATCCTCAACCCGTTGTCACCTGGATTCGTGTCAATGATCAAATGTCCACCGAGGTCCATGTCGAAGGTAATCGCTTGATTTTCGAGAGACCACGTAAATCCGATGAGGGTAGATACCGCTGCCAGGCCAACAATGGCGAGGGATATCCCGATGAGAAATACACCGAAGTTTATGTCGAGACCGTGATGCCATCATCCACACCGGCACCACGTGAAATGGTGTACATTGAACCACCCCAATATACCGGTGAAGCTGGTCAACCCATTCGTCTGACTTGCCATTCCATTTCGAACATTAATCTGAAATATGAATGGACCAAGGATGGTTATGCCATCTATCGTCAGCATAATGTCATTATGCTGGGCAATACCTTGGAGATTCGTGATGCCACACCACGTGATTCGGGTACCTATACCTGTGTGGGTATTGATATGCGTGGTCGTCGTAACTACACCTCAGATGCTCGGGTATTTGTTGATGAACCAGCTGGTCCCTATCCCGCTGTTGGGTAAGCTGAAATTGTGGAATTATCTTTCATGGGTGCAAATCTGACCCGTTTTCTGTTGTTCTTTTTTTGTCCCTTGCAGAACTCCTCCCGTCATCAAGGCCATGCGCGAAGAACATCTTGTCATTCAAGGCCATGATTTTACCATTACCTGTGAAGCTTCCGGCACTCCTCGTCCCACAATTAAATGGACCAAGGTCCATGAATCTCTCGGCGATAATGTCCATCAAACTGGCAATGTATTGCGTATTAGCTCTGCCCGCCCCGATAATCGTGGTGTTTATGTTTGTGTTGCCGAAAATAATGTGGCCTCCGATCAAGCCAGTACATATATTGAAATTGAACGTAAGTAGAAGGGGCTCAAAACGGAACTTCAAAACTATTTTTGTCATTTAGAACATTTTTCAAAAAATCTCCTAAATTTTGTTGAGGCCATAACAAGGTTACCAAAGGGGTCTTGAGGTTCCGATTTTTGCTGTACATATTATTTTTACTCTTCTTAAAACCATGCATCCAAAAACTATTCACATTTCAACCATTAAAGGCTAGAAATTGAATATTTTCTATTTGGGACCGGGGTGCGTATGACTATTATTAATTAATGGGTTATATTGGGAAATTACGTATATCTCCTGAACGGTTCGTAATTTTTGCAAAATTCTTTTGGCTATTGAAAGTCAACCCATCAGGGAAAAAATAAAAATTCATAGATATTACATTTTATAAAGGTGGATGGGCAGAATATTTAATTATTTCTCAAAAATATTATAATTCGATTAAGGCCATATCTAGGTTTATAAAGGTCTTCTCCGGTTCCCAATTCCCGTCGTATATAATATTTTTGCTCTCTTTAACAATATTAATCAAAAAAAAATATTCGATTTTAAAGCATTTAAGACATTATTTCGAATATTTTCTATTTGGCCTATGGGTGCGTATGATTATTATTAATTCGTGGGTTATATTGGGAAATTACGTATATATCCTGAACGGTTTGGGATTTTTGCAAAATTCTTTTTGCAATCGAAAGACAACCTGTTAGGGAAAAAATAAAAATTCATAGATATTAAATTTTATAAAGGGGGATGGGCAGAATATTTAATTATTTCTCAAAAATATTTCTCATAATTCGATTAAGGCCATATCTAGGTTTTTAAATGTATTCTCAGGTTCCCAATTTTTGCCGTAAATTATATTTTTAGTCTTCTGATAAATATACATTTTCAAAAAAGTCCAGTCCATAACAAATTTCCCTCTGATTTGTGATTTTAAAGAATATTTAAAATTTGAACATGGGTGCGTATGACTATTATTAATTATTGGGTCCATGTGGAAAATTTGCCATAACTCTGCAATGACAAGAGATATTTGGGAAATTATTTTTGTCATTGGAAGCCAACCCTTTAGGGAAAAAACCAAAATTATTAGAAGGTTCATTTTTTTATTTAAAGTAATTTAAAAAAATTTTACAAAAAATATTTTCAAAAAATAAAAATAAAAAAATGTTGAATTTTATGAATTTTGAATCTGAAAATAATAACACCAAAATTCAATTTATGATTCTTCTTTCCTCTCCTTTTCTCTATTTAAAAAAAATACTTGTTTTTTGTTAAATTTGGAATTTATTTATCAAAAATTTTCTGCCTAAAAGTATTCAAAAAAGGAGTTGGTAATAAGAACGTTCCGAACAATTTACTAGTTTTAGTACTAATTTGTACCACCCTGATTATATCGTTGATTCCAGCTCGTGAACGTCCCACCGTTGACATTGATCCCAAAGAACCACAAGTACTTGTTGTTGGCAGCCAGGGTATGCTGTATTGTACCGCCACCGGTATACCCACACCCAGAGTACAATGGTCTCGTGTCGATGGCCAGCCCATGTCGCACCGTCATCAAATGCAACACAATGAACCGGGTTATATTGTGTAAGTAGAAGCTGCAAAACCTCAAAATGAAGAGGATCCGGAAATATCAGATTTGTAACCATTTTATTTTCCTTATTTTCAGCATTAATGATGTTAGCTTGGCCGATACTGGTGATTACAAATGTGAAGCCGTTAATGAAGTTGGCACAGCCACTGCTGTCTCAACCATTCGCGTCATTGAGGCCCCCGTCATCACTCTGCAGCCAAATGAGGAAATTCATAGTGTAACCGAGGGTGATGAATTGCGTGTAGTTTGCACAGCCACCGGTACCCCCACTCCCAGTGTTCGCTGGATCAAGGAAGATGTTGTCTCTTATGGTTATGGCGCCGCCTTCGAACCTTCATCTAATGAAGCTGTCCTGACCTTCAACCGCGTCAGCATGGAAGATGCCAAGTCCTATAAATGTATTGCCAGCAATGAAGCCGGTACCGATGAACGTTATATTGTCCTGGATGTGAAACAACATCGTGGTGATGTTGGCAAGGATGGTGATGTTGTTTACGGATCCTACCAACCATCTTACCCCACATCTTATCCCAACTATCCTCCACCAAATACCATGCAGAAACCAAAGACAGTTATGGATACCAGACCCGGTGAAAATGTTACCTTGATATGTGATATTCGTAAGTAGAGTTGGATTTATTTCGATAGAGGACTTCGATTTCAAAATTTCCCCATCTCTTAGAAAACAACTATCAAATCACTTGGGAACGTGCTGATGGCCGTCCATTGCCCTCGAATTCCTACTATGAAGGCAGCCGTTTGGTTATCTATCAAATGACTGAAAATAGTGCCGGTAATTATCGTTGCAATGCCTTGGATAGACGCGGAACCCTGTTGCAATATCACTTGTGGGAATTGGTCTATTTGCCAGTGCCCCGTATCACCCTGCATCCACAAATGCCCATTAAGGTGAATGTGAACAGTGATGTGACCATTACATGTAATGTGGAGGGTGCCCAACCCATTACCGTGTCCTGGCATACCGACAATAATCGTCCATTGACTGCGTAAGTTTCAGCAAAAAAAATTGATATGGAATTTGAAATATCCTAAATTCCGATTATTTACAGTTCCGTCAGCATTGATGGCAAATATTTGAACTTCCGCGACATTACCCCAGCTGCTGCCGGCCGTTACTACTGCTTGGCCTCGAATCGTTATGGCAACACCACCGCCTCCGCCGAAGTGATTGTCAATCGTGGTCATACCTATGAACCCCAACCCCAGGCCAAACAATATCAAATTACCGAGGGACAAGATGTTCATGTAACATGTGATGTTGAATCGATGTCCGCTCCAATTCGTGGTGAAGTTTATGTAAGTAGAACTCCCCTAACGATTACATAAGAAATCCCCTCGAAAATCAGGCAATATCTAGAATTTTTTGAATATTTATTATTTGTACCGGGTTGCGTATGACTATTATTAATTATTGGCTAATTTTGGTAAATAATTTATAACTTCGATGTTTATGAAGATATTTTCAAAATTTCTTTTGTATTGCATTTTCAACACTTTGGGGATAATATAAAAAATTATATAAAATTTTAAATTCAAAACTAAAATCAAATTAGGGACTCTAAAATATTGAAAACAAAATTTTTCTAAAAAAAATCATGATTCAGTTATATCTTTTACATTTTTATAACTTTGATGTTTATGAAGATATTTTCAAAATTTCTTTTGTATTACGTTCTCAACACCTTGGGGATAATACAAAAAATTTTATTGAATTTTAAATTCAAAACAAATCACAGTTTAGCGGCCCAAGAACATGAAAAACTAATTTTTTCTAAAAAAAATATTAAATGCCTTATTTTTTGTAAAGTTTCTGTAGTTTCAAAACTATACGGAATATTTTCAAAATGGTGTTGGAAATTTGTAGCTGACACTTTACGTAAAAAATAAAAATTGAGAACTTGATTAATTATTTTGTTTAAATAAATTTGAAAAATAAAAAAAAACATAATTTATAAAAATTTTACAGACTTTAGATTTTCAAAAAATTGTTTCAATTTAAATAAATTCGAATCTATGAAGAATACTTTCAAAATTCTTTTGGATATTTAATGAGCACACTTTATATAAAAAATAAAAATTCGGAATTCGCTTAATCATTCTTTTAAATATATTTAAAAAATAAAACAAAAAATAATTTTTAAAAATTTGAACACCCATTTTTAGATTTTTAAAATAGTTTCAATTTTAACAATTTAAGGATTTTATATAAATTTGTAATCGATTTTAAGGCAATTACAATTTTTTACAACAAATTTTTACTTTATTTCGGGCTTTAAATAGATTTTTAAATTTTACCCTTGGGTGCGTATGATTATTATTAATTATTGGGTATATTCGGTAATTTCGCTGTAATTTCAAAACTATGAGGAATATTTTCAAACTTCTTTTTGCAATTTAACGATAACACCTCGTACAAAAAATAGAAATACTAAAAAAATGTAGAAATATTTTTCGGAGTGTTTTTAAAAATTTAATTGAAAAAAAGTTTTTTTTATAAAAATTTTAAATTTTTCTTAAATTTCCAAAATCATTTCAATTTAAACAATTTTGGGGTTTTTATAAATGTTTGTTTAATTTTAATGATAATCATAAATTTTCTCTACCAATTTGCGTGTATTTCGGGCCTTAACTCAATTTTTAAATTTCGTCCCTGATTGCGTATGACTATTTTTAATTATTGGGTATTTTCGGTAAATTCCCTATAATTTCGAATGTATGTGGAATATTTTAAAAATTCTTGTTGAAATTTAAAGATAACACTTCGTACCAAAAATAGAAATTGTAAAAAATTTAGAAATATTTTTTGGAGTAATTTTAAAAAATTAATTGAAAAAAAGTATTTTTTATAAAAATTTGAAATTTTTCCTTATATTTCGAAAATCGTTTAAATTTAAACAATTTAAGGAGTTTTTATAACTTTTTAATTAATTTTAATCATAGTCATAAATTTCCCCTACCAATTTATCTGTATTTTGGGCTTTAACTCAATTTTCAAATTTCATCCTTGGGAGCGTATGACTATTTTATAATTGAGTAGTTTCAGTAAATTCCCTGTAATTTCGAATGTACGAGGAATATTTTGAAAATTCTTTTTGCAATTTGAAGATAATCCTTCATATAAAAAATAGAAATTCTAAAATATGCTGAAATATTTTTTCGAATAATTTTAAAAAATTAAATGAAATAAAATATGTTTTTATACAAATTTTCAATGCTTCTCAGTATTCCAAAACCGTTTAAATTTAAACAATTTAAGGAGTTTTTATAACTTTTGAATTAATTTTAATCATAATCATAAATTTCCCATATCAATTTCTGTGTATTTTGGGCTCTAACTCAATTTTTAAATTTCATCCTTGGGTGCGTATGACTATTATTAATTATCGAGTTATTTTAATAAATTAGCTGTATCTTCCAAAGTATGAGAAATATTTGCAAAATTCTTTTTGTTTTGGAAAGAAAACACATTCAACAAAAAATGAAAATTACAAAAAAATAGATTTTTGGGTTTTAAATATATATACAATTGGCAAGAAAATGAAAAAATATTTTCCAAAATTTTAATTTTTGTATTTTTTTTCTTTTTCCATCATTTTTATTTTAGTACAACTGGCGCCGTGAAGATGGCCGTCCCTTGCCAACCAATACCCAAGTCTACACTAACCGCCTGATCTTCAACAATGTACGCAAACCCGACGAGGGCCGCTACATTTGCGAAGCTTACACTGCCTCCGGATCATTGTCCACTTCCTATGCTGATTTGTTTGTCAAGCGTGAGTATCAAGACTATATGGCCAGAAATTCAAGACGTTATAGACGTCAAAGAAATTAATACCAAAGAAACAACAACAAAAAAAAACAATCGAAATTTATATTTTTAAATATCAAACCAAAAAAAAAACTACAACAACAATTTTTTTATGAAGAACAAATTTTTTTTTAAGAATAACAAATCAAATTTAGTTTTAAAGAAAAAACCAGAAAACTAATTTAATTGGCATGAAAGTTTTATTTTATTGAAAAAAAAAAATATTTTTTTTTTAAATTCTATCACCACTGATTTTACTTATTTTTTTTAATATATATAATAAATGTAAAATATGTATTAAAACAACAACAACAACCAACCACCACTACCACCACACTTGTAAATAGTTTTATAACACCAACAAATCCCAAAAAACTCAGTTTGTAAATTAACATCATTTTTTGTAAACATTTTTTTATTGTAAAAAATCGAACAACAACAACTGAAATTTTTTTATATAAATATATGACAACAACAAGGTGGAGGGTATATTTTATATATATTTTAAAATTTTTTGCATGCCAACATATAATAATTATGTTTTTTTTATTATTATTAATTATAACTCTTTTTGTTAACCAGTCTAAGAAACAGAAAAACAACAACAAAACAACCATTATGGCTGCCATTTAACAATTAAGTGTCCCCACCCCCCTTCTATAACCAAAAAAACAAAAGAAAATAATTAATAAAAATATTTGATTTATTAACAAATTTTTTATAAACCAAAAAATAACACCCTTTTTATTTTTTTATTATTATAAGACAACACATTTAATTCATAGCAGAGGTTGAGGGTTGCCACCCATCCCCATGATTTTATGTTTTTTTTTTTTTTTTGTTATGTGGCGTAAGGTTTTTTTTTGCAAAATCTTGGTTGCGGATTTTTTTGTGACATCTCGCTGCCTGACTCGTTTGGATGTGTTCTTTCCAAATTGTGATTTGTCCCAATTTGTTTTTATTTTTTTAGTTTCTCTTTTTCTCTACTCTTTTGGTTTCTTTCTATCTTCTTCTATCTACCATTTTAATTTTCTCTTCTTCTTTTCTAACCATGGTATGCTGTTTTCTATATTTTTCCCATTAACCTAACAAAAAAAAATGCTGTACCCAACTCATAATAAATAAAAAAAAAATCATTAAAAACTCCATTTCGACCAAAAATACCCAATTTTCCCCATTTTGGGAAATTTTGGTAGAAAAAATTATTTCAAGGAAAATTTTTTAAAAACTTGGTAAAAAATCGAAATAGGGCAAGAAAAATGATTTCCGACCAAAAAAATTAAATTTTCCCATTTTTACCTAAAAAATCCCCATTTTTCCCCACTTTGAAAATTTTGGTAAAAAAACACTAAAGAATTGGTAAAATTACTAAAAATATGCTCTAAAATCAAAATAGGCCAAAAAATAAATTCCGAGCAAAAAAATTAAATTTCCCCATTTTTACCAAAAAAAAAATCCAATTTTCCCCCATTTTGAAAATTTTGGAAAAAAACCTAAAAACCTGGAAAAATTACTAAAAATATCCTCAAAAATCAAAATACGGACAAAAAATAAATTCCGACCAAAAAAATTTTGACCAAAAAAAAATCCCAATTTCCCACCACTTCGAAAATTTTGGAAAAAACTAAAAACCTGGTAAAATTACTAAAAATATGCTCTAAAATCAAAATACGGCCAAAAAATTAATTCCGACCAAAAAAATTAAATTATCCCATTTTTACCAAAAAATCCCAAATTTTCCCCACTTAAAAAAATTTTGAAAAAAAAAACCTAAAAACCTGGAAAAATTACTAAAAATATGCTCTAAAATCAAAATACGGCCAAAAAATAAATTCCGACCAAAAAAATAAAATTTCCCCATTTTTAACAAAAAATCCCCATTTTCCGCCACTTTGAAAATTTTGGAAAAAAAAACTAAAAACTTGGAAAAATTGCTAAAAAATCAAAATATGGCCAAAAAAATAAATTACGACCTACAAAAATAAAAATCCCTATTTTTATCCAAAAAAAAACCCACTTTGAAAATTTTGGTAAAAAAACACTAAAGAATTGATAAAATTACTAAAAATATGCTCAAGAATCAAAATATGGCAAAAAAAAATAAATTCCGACCAAAAAATAAAAATTTCGCATTTTGGCCAAAAAAATCCCAATTTTCGCCACTTGGAAATTTTTTGTAAAAAATAATAAAAAATTGCTAAAATTACTAAAAATGTGCTCAAATAATATTGTTTTATTAGTATGACCGAAAAATAAATTCCGACCAAAAAAAAATCCCTATTTTTACCAAAAAAAAAATCCCAAATTTTCCCCACTTGAAAATTTTTGTTAAAAAAGTAGTTTTTTTTAACTAAAATAACTAAAAACGTAATAAAAATAAAAATTGGCCAAAAAATAAATTCCGACCAAAAAAAAATTAAAGTCACAATTTTCCCCATTTTGGGAAATTAAAAAAAAAATTTTTTTTGAAAAATACTTAAAATATGCTCACAAATCAAAATATGGCCCAAAAAATTAAATTCCGACCAAAAAAATACAATTGCCCTATTTTGACCAAAAATATTCCAATTTTCCCCCCCACTTGGAACATGATGTTAAGCTAAAATTACTAAAATTTCCGTAGAAATCAAAAAAAAAGGAAAAAAATAATTTCCGACCATGGACAAAAAATAAAAAAAAACTAAAAACGTGATAAAAATAAAAATTGGCCAAAAAATAAATTCCGACCAAAAAAAATAAAAGTCACAATTTTCCCCATTTTGGGAAATTTAAAAAGAAAAAAAATTGGAAAAATACTTAAAATATGCTCAGAAATCAAAATATGGCCCAAAAATTAAATTCCGACCAAAAAAATACAATTGCCCTATTTTGACCAAAAAAAATCCCAATTTACCCCCAAATTTCCTAGAAATCAAAAAAGTGAAAAAAATAATTTCCGACCATGGAAAAAAAATGTCGCCTTTTGGGCCCAATTAATACCCCAAAAATTGTTTCCCATTTTGACCAAAAAATCCAAATCTTTCCCACAGGAAAATTTTTGGTAAAAATTGTTTTTTTTTTTTTAACTAAAATTACTAAAAAAAAACTTGCTCAAAATCTAAATATCACCTGCGGTACAGCATTTTTTTTCATAGGCAAAAAGGTCCTCTTACTCTTTCTATCCTTCCTTCACTCTTCTTTTCCAGCTCTTTTTTTTTTGTACATTCATTTATCGTTTCATCATGCGACACATCATTTCATTCATTTCTGTTTTAAATTCATCAACAACGAATAAAATTTAAAATAAATACCAAATGGGGCCACCAACCAACAAAACAGCTAATTGGTTAGCCTAATCAGCTGATTGGTTACTCAAATCAGCTGATTGGCTAGCCTAATCAGCTGTTTTGTTTCTCCGGTAATTTTCAATCAGTCACTTTTTTTATAAAAAATATTTTTTTAAAATTTTTATTGAATTTCAAAAATATAATATTTCAAAACATTTTTTAGTCGTCTTTTTTTTTTTTTTTTATTCGAAAATGTAAACATATTTTGTTTTGTATTATTAATAATAATTTAACCTCACTTTTTATTAAATGTTTAAATTTTATAAACACAAACACACACGCACAACACTTATAAAAAAATTTACACACAAAGTATTTGTTGAAAAAAAAATTAAATTCATTTGTAATATAATTTATTTTTAATTAAAAATTTTTCCCATTTAAACAAAGGGGAAAGGGAGATTTTTTCATTAGAAAAAAAAACCCGTTAGCCCCTCCATGAAAATTTTTTATTAAAAAAAAATAATAATTCATTTGTGTTTGTAGCACTTTGTGTAAATAACCATTTTTTAACTTTTTTATTAAATGTTTGGTAAATAATTATTTTTTCGTAATTTATACAATAATAAGTTAAATCAGTTTTATTTTTTCCAAAAAAAAAAAAATAAATAAAATGATAAAAAATTATTTTTTTTTTAATTAGGAAATTTTTTTTTACATGAAAATGTAAATATACATACATTATTTACCCTCATACATACTCCAAAACTACATACACATCCATTTTATTTATTTATATAATTTATTTTTTATATATTTATTAATTTATTTTTTTTATTGAACTTTTAAATAATTTTCTCTGATTTTCTTCTTTTTTACATATTTTCTTCTTTTATATATAAACTTTGTTTTTTTTTAATATTAAACTATTAAAACAATACATCAAAAAAAATATTTTTAAAAAAATATACCAACAAAAAAAAATACTACACATCATTCATCATCATTGATAACCAAAAAAAAAAAACAACAACAACTAAACCAAAAAAAAAATATGTTAAAAAAAAATAATTTATTTTTTAAATGAAAACAATTTTAAAGGAGGTCACAGCGTTAATGATATACCTTGCTTGGTTCTGTATATCTGCAAAGGTGTGTTAAAATCATAATTTATGTTTTTTTTCTTTAGATTTTTCTTTTTTTTACTTCTCACCACAATTTGTTGATAAAAAAAATGTTTTTATTTAGTTGAATAATTTTCTAATTTTGATTAGCAAACTTTAAAATGTTTTTTAATTTATTTTGATTTTAATTTTTTTAGCCGTTTACACGCGTAGAATTTAGTTTCGTTTTTTTATTTTTACGTAATTGGCACCAGGAGTTTTTAAATTCCCCCCCATTATACTCTTGTTGACGTAATTTTTTTGTGTAGTCATATCAACAAAAACAACAACAACAACAGGAAAAAAATGATCACCTTAAAACTTATCCATTATTATCCATTTTTGTTTTATTTAGTATTTAATCCCTGTGTCCGTCGTGTCCCATAAATGTGTTCCTGCACATTATTTTGTTTTTGTTGTATAAATAATATAATTTATCTCCATGTATATTTAGTTTGATGTTTTTTTAGTAAAATTTACTTCTTTTTTGTTCTAAAACCCTTAACAACAAATCCCAAATGTCCTTTAAAATTAGTCAGAAAAAAAAACAACAGTATTAATTTTTTTTTCATAACAAATAATTAAATGGTTTCATTTTTTTTTAAATTTAAATTAATTAGGAAATATAAAAGTTTTATTTATTCACTGACATTATTGCAATGCTAGAACCCTGGTTTCCTTCTCGTTGTTTGTTTACCCATCACAATGTAAACACGGTATTTATTACTCCCCAATATGGTTCTCACTCTCAGCATAGGAGAAAAAAACATAAACAAACCAGTCACCGTTGTATTAGCAACAACACCAACAACTACATCAATTAGGGGGCAATTATCCAATTAGAATCTAATCTAATTATTAGATTCTTATGTTTCTCATCACTCTCAGAGTAACACAGAGAGAGAGAGAGAGATAGACTGCAAGCAAGCAACCGTTTATTGCATGCATTGTTGTGTTATCATAGCAATAACAACAACAACAGTGTGGGTGCTTTGCTAACGGCTTCTCACTCTCTCGTAGTATGTGAGAGGGAGAGCAGCCGTTATTAAATGCATTGATTTGTTGTCGTTGTATTGTCCAACAGAGTTTATTGCATGCATTGTTGTGTTATCATAGCAATAACAACAACAGTGTGGGTGCATTGCTAACGGCTTCTCACTCTCTCGTAGTATGTGAGAGGGAGAGCAGCCGTTATTAAATGCATTGATTTGTTGTCGTTGTATTGTCCAACAGAGTAGGTGGGAGGTAAACAAACAACCGTTATTCAATGCAGTGATATGTGTCGTAGTATTGCCAACCGCTACTGAATGCATTGATATGTTATCGTTGTATTGCCAACTACAGAGGGAAGGAATTGTGTGTGTTTTTGCTGTTACAGAGATGGGAGTGTTTAAATGTTCAATTTTTCTCAATGAGGTTTAAATGGGTTTCAAGGCATTTTTATAGATTTTAATAGGAGTTTTTGGACAATTTTGACGCCGTTATTTTCGGAAAAATTATTGCAGAGAGATTTGAAAAAAAAATCAAACGATATTTTCATTTAAAAAATAATTTAAAACATTAAAAAAAACATTTTTTCTAAATAAAAAACAAAAAAATCTTTCTTTAAAATAAAAAAAATAAAAATTATTTTCTTCAAACTAAAAAAAAAATAAATATTAAAAAATATTTTTTTTTCCAGAAAAATTTTAAATATATATTCAAATTAAATCTCGACAGATTTTTTTCTTTAAATTAAAAAAATAATAAAAAAAAAAATAATAAAAAAAATGTCCTAACAAATTTTAAATAGATTCCAATTAAATAATTTTAATTATTTTCGATCATTTTTAATTAAAAAAAAAAATCACAAACTATTTAATTTTGACTTATCGAAATTGAAACTTTAAAAATCGGCAATTTAGGGATCCGCAGACACTACTAACAGACTTTAAATATATGAACAGGCTTTTAAACATGATTTTTTTTTTTTGAAAACACAGAATCGTCAATCCAAAGCCTGAAATTTGAAATAATCGATATTTATCGAAGTGAAAAACTAGAATTATTTTGTATTTTTTTAAGTATATTTTTAACATATTTGCCCTAAGATGCTAAAAAATACTTCAAAATAAATCAAAATAGTTCTTCTTCTTTTTACATTAATATTTAGCATAAATAACAATTTATCGATATTTATCGAAAAATAAATCTAGACTATTTTGATATTATTTTTAATGGAGATTTTTCACAATGCCAAAAAGACTTTGGATCCCAAGAAGTCGAGATATATTTCTTCAAATTTTATTTCCAATTTTTAAAAATCAAAGTTTCAGATTTTTTTTTTTTTTTTTTTTGAAACTTCGTTATCGCTATTTTTAAGTGAAATGAGATATTCCGTTTTTTTCAAATTTTTTTTGCTCAAAATATTGCCCTCTCTGTGTTTAATTTTTCTCTCGCCTTACCTCCTTCTTTTGTGTGTGTGTGTGTTAGGGATCAATAAATCGATTTATGACTAATAGAGATGAGAACCCACCAAAGTTCCCACTTGAAATCCTACACTTATTTTTTTTTGTACCCCTTGCATTTTGTTGAAAATTTTTTGCATTTAAACAGTATTATTTTGGCTTCTTCTATTCTTTGTTATTACATTTTTTTGCTGAAAATTTAAATTTTGTAACTAAATGTGTTTATTTATATAATCCCACGCTACGAACAAAATTTTGAAAAATATATATAACTCAAATATACAACACAACTACACACAACGCAATTTTTGGACCAACAAAAAAAATTGCCCCATAAATTTTCGAAACGAAAAAAATGCCAATTACCAAACAAAATTCAAAACCCGAACCCAAAGACTATAAAACCATGAGGGAAATCATAACCAAACCACTGACACCTGATACCCCACCAGCGGCAGTGACCTCCACCGGTTCCCTGGGTAGTAGCTCCTCGGTTTATAATACAAATAGCGGTGCCTGTCTACCCACCGATTTCAAATGTGTATCGCACCCGAATACCTGCGTTGCCAAACACATGGTCTGTGATGGCATACACGATTGTACCGATCATTCGGATGAATTCAATTGTAGCCGTAACGAACCGAATACCAGTTCACCGCTCAGCCTCATTAAAACGAAATCCAATAAACGATGGAAAAAACATAACTATCAACCGCAACAGAATTTCATGATGCCTGCAGGAGTTATCCGCAATAAAAGGAAATTCCATTTTGGGGGTCAAAAATGGAGAACTAGCTTCCCAGCCTCCACCGTGGGACTAAAGAGGCCCCTAACCACCACCACGACCAGCAGTAAACAAGATGTTTTCCATATGAAATCGAAATTCGGTTGGTTTTAATTTTCCATATTTTTTAAAAATTTTTTCAATACGAAAAAAAATATTGTATTTGTTTTTTTATGTTAATTGTGGAAAAAAGTTTTGAAAAAAAAATTATTTAGATGTTGGAAACAAATTTGTTGTACACCACACAATGAAAAAAAAAACAACAACAAAAAGTACACCACCACTATTTTATTTTTGTTTAGCGTTAATCACTATTTAATTTTCCAATTTTTTGTTGTTGTATTCAAAATTTAGTTAAACAGCAAAAAAATAGTAGGTTTGGCAATGGCATTTATTCTAAAATTATGGTAGCTAAACAAAACATGATGACACATGGTCGCAACAATAAATTGAAAAACAAATGGTTGGCAACACGCCCAGCCCAAGCAACGGCACTAACAATTCGAAAAAAAAAAACACAATTTTTTAGTGCAAGCAAACAAAAATAAATCGAAAACACCTTTGCTTTAAAAGAATGCCCACCTCTGCAACCAACAAAACAAAATGCAACACTGCAAACGATTAGAGTTGGCACACACAACAAAAACAATAACACTCTCCAACAACAACAACAGCCACACACACAAAAAACACAGAGGTTATGTTACACAAAGAGAAACAGTTGGGGGAGAGAGAGCGCGTGACAAAGGGTTAACTGTATTTTAATAACCGTGTTTTGTGTGTGTGTGTAACTTCAAAGGAATGTTTTTTTAATTAGTATGAAATTAGGTTTCGAAATATGTTTCTGTAGGAAAAATTAAAAAAAAAATTTTTTTATTTGTAAAAAAATAAAAAAAACTAACCTCCAAAAATATTCACCACAACTCTCATTTGTATTCACACCATTTCTCACCAACAAATTTTGTACAACAGTAATAATCATGCTTTTGTTTGTGTAAATATTTTGTAAAAAAAACTTCTTCTATGCATGTTAAATCTTGTTTTTACTAATTATTTTTAACTAACCTCAAATTAAAAAAAAAAATTAATAAAAATTCAACCAAAATTTTGTAAATAAAACCCCCTAAATAAGTAATATTTTGTTTTACAGGAGACATTAATACCAAAAAAAGCAAAAAAATCGAAATTTTTTCAAAAAATATTTTTCGATAACTTTCGATAAAATCGATTTTTTTTAAAGGATATCAAAAATATTTTTATTAAAAGTTAAAAATAAAAGCATCTAAAAACAAAACTAACTACAAAAAAAACGAAATTTTTGGGAAAAAAATATTTTCGATAAAAGTGATTTTACAAAGAAATGCGGCAAGAATTTTATAATATTTAAAAGGAAAATCCCTTTATGTACTTATATAAATTTAATTCTAGTTAAAAAAATTAAAATTTTCCAAAAAAATAATTTTCGATAACTTTCGATAAATGTAAATTTATGGAGTAAATGGCATAATATTTAACCATTTTTTTTCATGGAAGTCCCTTTATACAATATTATGTAAAAAAAATGTTAATTTTCCAAAAATAATTTTCGATAACTCTCGATAAATGCGGGTTTTCAAGGGAAACTACGAATAATTTTACACAATTTCGAGATAGAGAACATTTCTACATATAACTAGAATTAAATTTAGCTGAAAAAAAACGAACATTTTTCAAAAAATACTTTTCGATAACTTTCGATAAGTGTAATTTTATCAAGTAATTAGCAAAAAAATTAACCAATTTTTTAATGCAAATGTCCGTATGTATTAGGTTAAACAAAATTACGTTGAAAAAGCGGCAGAAAAAACAAATTCTAAAAAAAAATCGATAATTTTCGATAAATGCACTTTTTCAAAGAAAATTATGAATAACTTCATAAAAATTTCACATAAAAAAGTTATACACTTTACTAGAAGTAAACTTTTCTGAGATATAGTTCAAAATTTGTCCCTTAATGCGATTTATCGCCAATTATCGAAATTAAAAATATTTTCTTCGATTTTCGATTATTTTGTGAGATATTTTATTGAAATAACATAAAATATGTGTATTAGCTTTAATTTACAATTTATTTAATTGTCCATTTCTTGTCAATTCTCAGTTATCGAAATTTATCGATATGCATTTTAACGATATGTATACAATTTTTTGTGATATTTTGTTAAAAAATCATTAAAAATGTGTATTAGCATTAATTTCCGATTTATTTAAAGGCATATATTTCGAAAAATCCCTGTTATCGAAAATTATCGAAAATCATTTTTCGTTTTTTTGCACGATTTTTAAAGAACTTTTTTAGGAAGTTATTATTTATCGATTTTAACAGTTTAAAAAAATATTAATGTCTCCCTTAAAACATTTTTTCCAAATTCGAAAAAATCGATTCTATTATTTAAAAAAAAAATTCTAAGGTGTTGGTTACTATATTTAAAAAATAAAAAAAACCGTAATTATTTGTATTTTAAAAACATTTCGTATATGTTGTGTAATTTAGTTGACAAAGAAAAATATTGAAATTAGTTACCCCCCAAAAATCTATATATCAAAATTATTGCTTTACCAAAACAAAAAAATCGCTAACAATATTTATGTTTATTTTTATGTATTTTTTCACCTTCTCTTTCGTATCGAACCAAAACCAAAAAATCGAAATCCAAACCATGGCTAAAAAACATATTCGCACCAACCAAAATTATGTCGAAATTCTTCACCCTGAACGTTGTCTATGTGATCTCATCTGTGTCTGTGTAAATGCTGAAATTTCATCCAAACAAAAAAAAAAAAAATATTTAAATTTTTTTCGAATCGAAACTTGTGATCCATCGTTCGTTCATCATCAAAACAACAACAAAAACACCACGATTTTTCAAAACAAAAAATGTTGCTGTATCCGAAATCTGCAAAACCGAAATTTTTTTGCGGCCCACGAAATTATCCTAACCCCCAAAATTTTTTTGTTCCACTGAATTGGCCCGATCATAATTTTGTTGTGATTTCTAACTGCGTTGCGTCCTGGAAACTTCAAAATCCAAACACGAACCACGCCCACCCACACACACACACATACCCACATGCACCAAACCTCACCACCACCACCCACACCATAATTCTCTCCAAAACACACAAAAACAACAACAAATAATTGGTTCACAACAACAACAAAAAAACGAATTGAAATTAAAAACAAAATCAAACATGTTAACAACAAACAGCCGTCTATCCCCCGGCCCCACTTCCACACTATTCCACGACCACACCACGTCACCGTGATTTAAGTTTGAAATTGGATCAGCAACATTCGAATTTGCGCGTCGGCGAGTCCACCGAAGTGGAGTGCTATTCGTCCGATAACAGCTACACCGATGTCGTTTGGGAGAGAGCCGATGGTCGGCCATTGCCATTACATATTAAGGTGAGTGAAAAACAATAAAAAATGTTATCGATAATTTATCGATTTTCGATAAATCAATAATTTATCGATTTTCAATAAATCCATAATTTATCGATTTTCGATAAATAAATAATTTATCGATTTTCGATAAATAAATAATTTATCGATTTTCGATAAATCAATAATTTATCGATTTCCGATAAATTGATAATTTATCGATTTTGAAATAAATCGATCATTTATCGATTTTACGATAAATCGGTCATTTATTGATTTTTAGATAAATCGATAATATATTGATTTTGAGATAAATCGATAATTAATCGATTTGGAGATAAATCGATAATTAATCGATTTGGAGATAAATCGATAACTTATCGATTTCGAGATAAATCGATAATTTATCGATTTCGAGATAAATCGATAATTCATCGATTTCGAGATAAATCGATAATTTATCGATTTCGAGATAAATCGATCATTTATTGATTTTGAGATAAATCGATCATTTATCGATTTCGTGATAAATCGATCATTTATCGATTTTTGATAAATTTATTTTCATTAAATGCTTTATTATAATTTTAAAACTTTTCAATTATAAATTCGATAACATTTTATTATAAATTGTATATTTTATCGATTATTACGAATTATCGAATTTCGTTAAATTCTTATTTGCTTCGAAATAATGTGTATTTTTTAACCTTTTTGATAATGATATAATTCTAGATTATTTATCAAGCAATAACTACGATTTATCGAAATCGATAATTGATAAATTTTCAATAAATTCAATTTTGATGAATCGGTATTTAATTATTTTAATCATAAATTCGATAACATTTTATTAAAAATCGAAATTGTTATCGATTATTACGAGTTATCGAATTTCGATAAATCCTTATTTGCTTTGGAAAATTGTCTATAGTTTTACCTATTTGATAGCCATTTAGTTCTTGATCATTAATACGTCATTTATCAAGCGATAACTATGATTTATCGAAATCGATAATTAATAAATTTTCGATAAATTGCATAAATATATGATAAATTCCATTTTCTCTTTTAAATATTTACGTAATACGAATATGTTAACAATTTCAGGAAGTATTTATTAATTTTTCTTATAAACCATTCAAATTATGTCGATAAATGTTGAGTTATCGAATTCCATTAAATCGATTTTACTTTTGAAAATATGTATTTATTTCATCAAATTTAGCATATTTGTAATAAATAATGGTTAAAAGTAATTATTCTAGTAAAAAACTGTAATTTATCGATAATTATCGAATTTCGATAAATGAATTTTTCAATCGAAAATATGAATTTAATTTATCAAATTTGAATTTATATTATATATTTGAAATAGAAAATCATAAAAAGTAATTTTTCGATCAAGAACTGCAATTTATCGATAAGTTATCGACCCCATTATTGAGTTATCGACCCAAAAAATCGGATTAAAAATGAATTCTAGGTATAATTTATAAATTTTGATGAAAATATAAATTAATGTTTTTTGAAAATCGTTAAAATATCGATAAGTTTTGAGTTATCGATTTTCGATAAATCGGAAATTATGTTCTTTTTTGTAAAATTTGCGAATATTAAACTGAGAGATTTATTAGAAATTACTTTTCGAACTATAAATTTGATTTATGGAAATCGATTATTGAGTTATCGTTATCGATAAAAATCGATTCTATTGAAAATTGTCATAAAAATTGTATATTTTTATTTAAAAATTAATAAATTTTAATTATGAATAATTTTTATCGATAAATTTATCGTTTATGGAATTATCGTTATCGATAAAAATAGATTTGTATCGAAATTGATCATTGCAATTGTATGTTATTAATAATATATTATTAAATTTGACATATAAATGATTTTTAACGAAAAATTTGGATTTATCGAAATCGATTAGTAGGGCAAATGTTATCGATAAATACAATTTTTGGTAAAAATTTAATTTTTTTGATACAATTCATTTATTGCACATATTTTATATATATCTCTTGTTATACTTCGATAACTTTGTGTTATCGATTTTCGATAATTATGTGAAATTTAATATTTATGTTCTTCCCTTTAGCAAATCGGCAATCGTTTGATCATCAACCATGTTACACCCGCCGATGCTGGCAACTATTTGTGCAAATGCAAGACCGACGAGGGTGACCTCTACACGACCAGCTATGAATTGGCCATTGAGGCCAACACCCATGAATGGAAACATCCCAAGATTGAGCATGCCGATGTGGGATCAGCTGTGAAACTACACTGTGATGCCGAGGATGGTCATCTATCGCCCCATTACAGATGGTCGCGTCAATACGGACAAATGCAAATGGGCACGGATATTTTAAGTGTAAGTAGTGGCAACCCTGGGGATTAAAGGGGATTTTTTATTGAATTTTTCGTCGATTTTCAGGATACTTTGAGCCTGCAAAATGTCCAAGCCAATGATGCCGGTACCTATGTATGCACTGCCACCGCTCCCAATGGCGAATCGGTGGATTATCCCACAATTCTGGTTGTGACCGGTGCCATTCCGCATTTCCATCAGGAACCCCTGAGCTATATGTCCTTCCCCACGCTGCGTGATTCCTATGTTAAATTCAACTTCGATATTACATTCCGCCCGGAACAAGGTGATGGTCTGTTGCTCTTCAACGGCCAGAAGCGCGGTAATGGCGATTACATTTCCCTCTCCCTGAATGACCAATATCCGGAGTTCCGCTTCGATTTGGATGGCAAGACGATGATTGTTCGCGGCGAACAGGCTTTGGAATTGAATGAATGGCACACCATTAGGGTTCATCGTTTCCGTCGTGATGGTTACATGCAGGTCGATGGTCAACATCCGATTGCCTTCCCCACTTTGTCCGCCTCCTCCTCCCTGGATTTGGTTGAAGATTTGTATTTGGGTGGTGTACCCAGCTGGGATATTTTACCCGATGAAGCTATTGAACAGCAAGTGGGCTTTGCCGGTTGCATTAGCCGTTTGACCCTGCAGGATAGCATTATTGAGCTGATGAAAGAGGCCAAGATGAAGGAAGGCATTACCGCCTGCAAGCCTTGCGATACCAACCCTTGCTCGAACAGCGGCATCTGCCTTGAGTCTCAGACGGAAATGGGCTATACCTGTGTCTGCCAACAGGGATGGACGGGTCGCCACTGTGCCATCGAGGGTACCCAGTGTACTCCCGGCATTTGCGGTACCGGACGTTGTGAGAACACCGAAACTGGCATGGAATGTTTGTGTCCCCTCAACAAGACCGGCGATCGTTGCCAGTACATCGAACACTTGAATGAGAACAGTTTGGCGTTTAAGAAGAACAGCTTCGCTGCCTATGGGTAAGTTATCGGGAGCTATCGATATTTCAGAAACTATACTTAATAATTCCCCATTTTCTTCCAGTACCCCCCGTGCCTCCAAGCTCAACATCAAATTCCAAATCCGACCCAACACCCTTGAAGATGCCGTTCTCCTCTATGCCGCCGAATCTCGTCTGCCCAGTGGAGATTATGTGGCCGTCGTCTTGCGTAACAAACATGTCGAACTGATCATCAATACCGGTGCCCGTTTGAAACCGGTTGTCGTGAGGTCGCTGCACCCCTTGCCCGCAAATAAATGGACCGAAATTGAAATTGCCCGCCGTTTCGGTGAAGGCATCTTGCGGGTGGGCACTGATCCTGAGCAGAAGGCCAAGGCAGCGGGAGCCGCCAGAACCCTGTACATTAAGACCCCCATGTATATTGGCGGATTCGATCATGAAAAGATCACCCTGAATCGTGATGTGAATATTACACAAGGTTTCGATGGGTGTATATCGAATGTAAGTAGGCAAAAAATTTCGGATTTTAGTCATTTTTAACAATATTTTTGATTACAGCTCTACGAGGGCCAACGTCAATTGAATCTGATTGCCGATATCCAGGATGCTGCCAACATTCAAAACTGCGGCGAAATCAATGAAATCGAACAAAACGAAACCTTTGACAACGATGTCGAACAGAATGCCTGCTCTAGTGATCCCTGTGAAAATGGCGGCACGTGTGTGGTAGAAAACGACGAGGCCGTTTGTTTGTGTAACATCGGCTTTGCCGGCAAACATTGTGAAGATCGTAAGTTTGGAATGGAAAAAACGTTTTTCGATATTTTTTTAAATAAAAAAATTTCCTATTTTAGATATTTCCCTACAATTCGATGCCAATTTCCATGGTAATGGTTATTTGGAACTGAATCGTTCCCAGTTCGATGAACAGGTAGAACAGAAATTCTCCAGTGCTGCCATGGTATTTTCCACAACCGCTCCCGATGGTTTGCTGTTATGGTGGGGTCAACCCAAGGGTGAGGCCTACACGGGACAAGATTTTATGGCTGTAGCCATTGTTGATGGTATTGCCGAATTTGCATTCCGTTTGAATGGCGAAGAGAAGGTCATACGCAACCCCGATAAACGTGTCGATGATGGTATCCGTCATATTCTGTTGATTAAACGCACGGATAATACGGCCATTTTGGAATTGGATCATATCTTGTATGCCGATGAGACCAAGGATACGGGTAAAGATACAATGAGCCTGCCGGGACATGTGTTTATTGGTAAGTCAGGAGATTTTTATTTTTGAAGAATATGGAATTTTAATTTTTTTTTGTTCCATAGGTGGCGCTCCCAATCTCGAATCCTTTACCGGTGGCCGTTACAAGCATCACTTTAACGGTTGTGTACGAGTTGTTGAAGGTGAAGCTAGCGGTATCATAGAAGTAGGCAAAGTAGCTATAAGCGGTAACAATGTTGACACCTGTCCAAAGTAAGTATCAATTTTTTTAATCTCTCCTCCTATCTCCCTCTAAAAAAATATTTATTTTCTCTCATGCTGCCTAACAAACAATCAGGAACTGGATACCCTCTAGTTTAGTTGATAATGATTTATTTATTAAAAATGAGTTCCACTTCGATCCCAATATGTTTGATGATTTCGATCAACCTCCGCCGGTACATATAATGTATCCTCATCCTCCATTTTCGACAATTCTGACAAGTGGTTCCTCTCTGCATTCTTGTAATTTTTTCTATAATTTTTATTCATCACATCCTCCACGGAGATCACTTCATCATCAGCACATATCAAGTTTAGGTTTAATTATGACAATTATGTGTCATCTATTGGAATCCATGGTGCTGAGTAGGGGGAATTTTATGTTATTTTTTAAAATCTCCCTAAAAACATAAAGAATGGGAATTTAGAAGAAGAAATCAACGAAAAAGTCCATAAAAGTCAATTTTCCCAGGTTGGTAAAAATATAGCAACACTGGAGAAATAAAAACGACCTAAACGCCTTACACAGGCATTCAAAGAGCGTCAATGGGGTGTAAAAACGGCCTAAGCACGTTTAGCTGACGCCGTTACTGTTTTCATTGTGCTTTGATTTCATCACCTTCCGTTATTTCACTCTCTCTCTCTCACATACACATAAATGACAATGGTAGGTGATGTAATTGTAGCGGTTTTTTTGGTAACACATGATTGCAATGTTTACATTCGCTCTCTTTTTCTCTCTCTCATTCTCCTTTCTTATTGGAATTGTTTATTAAGCAGTTCATGTGTTGCACTCAGTGTGGTCAATTTAGCGTTTTTTTCGCTATGGGTTTTATTAAAAAATCACTTTATTTTACCAATCTTAAAATGAATCACATTTTTGGGAATAAAAATCATCAAAAACAACAAACTATCATATCCAAAAATAAATATCATTTAAATATATAAGGCATTTGTAACATATCATAAATATTTATAGGAAAAATATAAAATAATATTAATTATTAAATTATAGCAAAATATCCATAATTGTTATGGCAAATAAAAACAATGAAAATAGCTAAGCTTTTAATAAAAGTATTAAGTATTGTTATTAAAATGTTGAGGAGTTATTTTATTTATTTTTTTTTTAATAGAAAAAAAAATCAAAAAATAGTTTTAAAAGATTTAAAATATATTTAAAACAAAATAATTTTTTAACATTCATTTTTAACTTCAAAAAAAAAAAAAAAAATTTGAATTATTTTTTTTTTTTTATTTGAAAATAAATGTTATATTCAATCAAAAAATGATTTAAAAAAACAATATTATTTTTATTAAAAAATTATTATTAAAAAATTATTTTTATTTCAAAAAAAGGAAAAGGGAATTTGTTAATTACTAAAAAAATAATAAAAAAAATATTTTTTTAATTTTTTCAAAATAAAATTTGTTTCCAAAATATAATTAATAAGCATTTTTAACATGAATTATTTTTTTCGAAATTTTCGAAATAATTCCATTTAAAAAATTTTTTTTTCAACAAATTATTTTTTCTTAATCTTTCAATAATCATATAACAGAATTCATTCTGAAATTAAAATTTTAATTTTGCAAAAAATTATTTTTTTTAAATTGTTTTAAATTTTTTTTTAACAAATTAAACTTTGTTTAAAAAAATAACTTAAAAATTTTTATTAGCCATTTTCAACATGAATATTTTTATATCTTTTTTTTTTTTGAAATACAAATTAGATTTTTTCAAAAAATTTAAAAAAAAAATCCAAAATTATTAAAAAAATAATAAAAAAAATATTTTTAAAGTCATATTTTTTTAATTTTTACAAAATAAAATTTGTTTCCAAAATATAATTAAAAAGCATTTTTAACATGAATTAATGTTTTTTTCGAAGTTTTCGAAATAATTCAAAAAAAAAATATTTTTTTTTAATTTTTTTTAACAAATTATTTTTTCTTAATATTTTTTTTAAACTTATAAATATTCAATAATCATTTTAAACAGAATTCATTCTGAAATTAAAATTTTAATTTTTCAAAAAATTATTTTTTTTTTCAAGTCAAAAAATTTTTTTTGGAAATTAAATATATTTTTTTTTAATTTTTTAACAAATTAAACTTTTTTTAATAAAATAACTTAAACATTTTTGTTAACCATTTTGAACATACATTTTTTTATATCCTTATTTTTGAAATGCAAATTATATTATAATCATTTTTAACAGAATTCATTCTAAAATTAACATTTTAAATTTTCAAAAAATTATTTTTTAAAAAAATGTCGAAATTTTTTTTCGGAAATTAAATATTTTTTTAATTTTTTTTAACAAATTAAACTTTTTTAATAATGATTTTTTTCTGAAATGCAAATTAGATTTTTTAAAAAAATTATTAAAAAAAAAATCGAAAAAAATTTGTCCAAAAATTATTAAAAAAATCCAAAAAATATTTTTTTTTTTTATTATATTTATTATATTTTTCTCAAAAAATTATTTTTCTTAATTTTTTTCAAAATTTTAAAAAAAAATATTTTTTTAAGCAAAGAAATACGCTCCTTTTGTGTGACTGCTTCTGATTTGATTTTAATTGTTATTTCGAAAAAGTATACTATTACAATAACTAAGATATTATATTAAAAAAAATATATTATTAAATAAATATAAATTAAAAATATTTATATATCTTATAAAGCGCTGTGAAATAAATCAATAATTGATATTATAGCATAATGTATGTGTATTATATATAAAATTAAGAAGAAAAAAAAAATAATTAATTTGAGAAAATACGACATATTTTTAAAATTTATTTGAAAATATTTTTTATTTATTATTATTTATTTTTTAAAATAATAAATATATTTTAAAATAATTTTTAAAATGTGGCAACTCTAGAGAAAAAAAACGACCTAAACGCCTTACATAGAGTCTAAACGCAACCAGAGAGTCACGAGTCAGCGTCATTCTTTTTCGCCGGCGTGAAAACCAAACGGAAGAGTTGGCGTTAGCGGCACAAAATGCCAATTATATGTTTTTATTTTCTGACAGAAAATTTTACATTGCGCAAACCAAAATCAATTTATTATTTAATAAACAATAATGTCAAGGAATTTGGATAAAATTATTGAAAAAATTATTTTTCTTCCATTTTATTAATAATTCATTAAAAAACATCCACAATCTTTGAAAATATTTGTTTTTTTAACAGTACTGCCATATGTTTTGATATAAATTCTCATTGAAATTTGGTAGCACTGTTGATTTTTACCTAAAATATGGCAACTCAATTGAGAGCAAGAGAGAAATTTTGAGTATGACGCTGAGCAAAAATGAATAAAATCTATTCTAGCGTCATGCCGCTAGACGCGAACGTCAGCCGTCGCGATTTCCCGCTGCCTATAAGAAACACACGGCAAACGACTGTCGCTGACTCTAGACTCTATGGTTGCGTTTAGACTCATAGACTTTCAAAGAGCGTCAATAGGATGTAAAAACGGCCTAAGTATGGTTAGCTGACGCCGTTACTGTAATCAACTGTGCTTTGATTTCATCACCTCCCGTTATTTCACTCTCTCTCTCTCTCTTACACACACACATAAATGACAATGTTAGGTGCTGCCATTGTAGCGTTTTTTTTTTTTTGGTAACACATGATTACAATGTTTACATTTGTTCTCTCTTTCTCGCTCTCATCCCCCTGTCTTCTTGGAATTGTTTATTATATTTTTAAATGATTTTTATTTATTACTTTTTGAAAAATTATTTTTATATATATATATATATATTATATTTTTATTTATTTTTTTTATTATTTTATTTTTTTATAAATTTTTTTTTAATTTTTTATTAATTAAATTTAAATTATTTTTTTTTATTTTTTATAAATTTTAATTATTTTTATTTAATTTTGTTCTTTTTTAGTGCGGATGAGGATGTTGATTTCGATGGTACCGAGCCCCCAGTCGTTTAATAGTTTTCGTTTTTTTTCCAGTAGTTAAAAAAAATTATTATTTTATAATTTTTCTTAAAAAAACAACAACTTGGATAAAAAAATACTGCACTTTTGCAAACCAAAAAAAAATTTAACTACGAAGAAAAAAATTAACTCAAAATCAAAAATTAAAATTTTAAACAAAAGAAACAAAAAATCCACTAATTTAGTTTCCAATTTTTTTATGAAATAAAAAAAAACAAAAATAAATATTAAGCCAAAACTAACTAAACAACAAGAAAAAAATATGAAACTAATTTTAAAAAACAAACAAAACGAATCCAAATGTGTCATATATATATTTTTAATGATAAGTGAGTGAAAAAGAATAACATATCGCGCCAATTTCCTGCTACCCCCAAAACCCTTACGAACGAAATATGAACAAAATATAAAAATAAATGGATAATGCACAAACAAATAAAAAAATAAATCTATAACACGCTTAACAACAATGCAGCATATTGATATAACAAAACCTTGCATGCAATATATCCCACATACTGGCCTCTATAAATAATGGTTACAAAAAATAAATGTACCAAAAAAAAAAAAAATAATTACAAAATTCCCAGAATTCTCAATTCTTCTTCCTCCTCTTCTCATCCACAATCTCTGCCTATTTTTTATACTCAAACAAATGAATTTTTTCTCTTTAAAAAAATAGAATTCCATTCCAAAAAAAATTCGCTTAAATGTGTTCTTCTTTTTTTTATTATTATATAATAATTAAATATAATTTTATTAAGCCATTTTTTTAAAAAAATAATATTATAAACGAAAATACTAATTTAATTTTTACCATTTTATTTTGTATATTAGTTTCTTTACACATACATATATATATTTTTTGTAAATGTTAAATCACAAAAAAAAGAAACTAAACAAAATATATAAGAGAAGAAACAAAAAATGGTATATAATAAATAAGAGAAGCAAGTAAAAATAAAAAATATATATAAAAAAATCCCAATACAATTGTAATAACACATAAATAAAACAACTATTGTAAAAAGTTTGTTAAGTATACAAAATAAAAGAAGCCAAATTATTAAAAAAAAAAATACTTAAAAATGAGGTTGTTTTACTTAAATTAAGAAAAATACATTGAAAAGGAGGATTTATAATAACCGAATTTCCAAAATTTATGCATTTTCATTAAGTACACAATTTTTCCTTCAATTTGCAATATTTTTGGCGGTGTGGTGAATTTCCATAAAAACTCACCACACCTCAAAAATGGCAAAAAATGCATAATAAACTACTAATAAATCGATATGGGTACTACAAAAATTATTTGAATGAATTCCAATAGTATAAAATTTCATTAATCGGCGACAGTGGGTTGATTTTAAAACAACAATTGGCTTAGTAGTTGCAATTTGTTTAAATCAGTGGCATTTCTATTATATAAAATGAATTTCCTTTAATTTGCCACATTTTTGGCGGTGTGGTGAATTTCCATAGAAACTCACCACACCTTAAAAACAACTGGAAATGCATAATAAACTACTAATAAATCGATTTGGATACTTTAAAAATTATTCGGATGAGTCTAATAGGTATTTAGACCCACATAGTACTACAAAATTCGTTATTCGGCGACGGTGGGTCGATTTTAAAGCAAAAAATGGGGCCAAATATGACTTAGCAGTTGCAATTTGTTGAAATCAGTTGCATTTCTGTCATATAAATTGAATTTCCTTTAATTTGCAACATTTTTGGTGGTGTGGTGAATTTCTATAAAAACTCACCACACCTCAGAAATAGCAGAAAATGCATAATAAAGTACTAATAAATCGATATGGGTACTTTAAAAATTATATCGAAGCGTTTACTTACCTTTTAGACCCACATAATGGTACAAAATTTCATTAATCGGTTATAGATGGTCGATTTTTAAACAAAAATGGGGTCAAACTTGGTTTAGTAGTTGCAATTATTTTAATTCTTTCGCATTTCTGTTATATAAATTGAATTTTTCTTAATTTGTGACATTTTTGGTGGTGTGGTGAATTTCCATAAAAACTCACCACACCTCAAAAATAGCTAAAAATGCATAGTAAACTACTAATAAATCGATTTGGGTACTTTAAAAATTATTTGAAAGGGTTTAATTACTTTTTAGACTCAAATAATAGTACAAATTTCATTAATCGGCGATGGGGGGCACATTTAAGGCAAAAATGGGGTCAATGTAGGGCTTTTAGTTAAAATGCACCTAAATCTTTTGCATTTCTGTCATATAAATTGAATTTCCTTTAACTTGAAACATTTTTGGCGGTGTGGTGAATTTCCATAAAAACTCACCACATCTAAAAAAACAGCTACAAATGCATAATGAACTACTAATAAATCGAGTTGGGTACTTAAAAATGTTTTGGAAGAGTTTAACTGCCTTTTAGATCGACTTAATTGTACAAAATTCATTAATGAGCGACGGTGGGTGGATTTTACGGGAAAATGGGGCCAAATTTGGTTTTGTAGTAGCAATTTTTTTAATCGGTTACATTTCTGTCATATAAAATAAATTTTCTTTTTATTTGCAACGTTTTTGGCGGTGTGGTGAATTTTCTTTTAAAACTCACCACACCTCAAAAATAACTGAAAATTTAATTTAAAATTAAAATAAACATGTTTAAGTACTTTAAAAATTATGTTGCTGTCTGGAAATTAATTTTACACCCACATAAATGTTTATCCAGAATTAAAATTTTACACCCAGAATTAAAGGAAAAATGTGGGTCAAACATGGGTTTTTAGTTAAAATTCACTTAAATTTTATGCATTTCACTTATACAAAATTAATTTACTTTAATTTCCAGCATTTTTGGTGGTGTGGTGAATTTCCACAAAAACTCACCACACCTCAAAAATAGCTGAAAATTAAGTTTAAAATATTAATAAACACGTTTAGGATCTTAAAATATTATTTGGAAGCCTGAAATATATATTAAGCCCAAAAAATAGTAAAAATTTCATAATCGGCGACATTGAAACGAATTTAAAGAAAAAAAAGAGGTTCAAAATATGGCTTGCATTTTCGGCTTATAAAACCAATTTTTTTTTTAATTTGCGACATTGTTTTCAGTGTGGTGAACTTTCACTGATTAGAAGCTAAAAACATATATACTTTCTCCCGTCATGCCAGTCTATGACGGGAGAAAGTCATGACCTATTTGGATATTTTCAGCTTTATAAAAGGTCAAAACATCGTATAAAATGAATTTCCATAATCTACGATGTAAACTATGCATGCTAGAACCAAATTTGGCGGTGTGGTGAATTTTAAGAAAAACTCACCACACCTTAAAAATAATAGCATTTGAAAGCTAACATGTTTTTATGGCAGATGGGAAGGGTTAAAAATTAATTCGCCAGTGCTAAATAGTGATTAGAGCCCAAAAACGTTTAAAATTTCTCTCCGAAGGGCCTATGGCTAAATCTAGGGACCAAATTGGCTATTTTCTGCTTTATTGAATGTGAAAAAAATCGTATAAAATGCATTTCTGTAATCTAGGATAAAAGTATATTCGTTAGCAGCAATTTTGGTAGTGTGGTGAATTTCAAGAAAAACTCACCACACCCGAAAAATGATTGCATTTGAAAGCTGGCATGTTTTTATGATCGATGGGAAAGGTTAAAACTTAATCTGCTGGTGCTAAATAGCTATTAGAGTCTAAAAGCCTTTCAAATTTCTCTCCTATGGTTAGATTTAGGGTTCAAATTTACTATTCTCTGTTTCATTGAATGAGAAAATGTCAAACAAAATGTATTTATGTATTCTAGGAAGAAAGTATGTGTGTTAGCAGCAATTTCTAAGGTGTGGTGAATTTGATCAAAAACTCACCACACCACAAAAATTATGGCATTCGATAGTTTGAATGATTTTTGACATGTTGCGCTAGGATTCAACATCTTTTGGAGGTTTCAAATGCCCTTTTGAGCCCCTAATATTTTAGTGCTCAATAAAAAATGTTTTTTTAATTTTTAAAATTAATTTATTTGATTTTTATTTTGTTATTTATTGAGTGTGGTTTAACTATTTATTTAAAATTATTATTACTTAAATATTAAGGACATGTTTTTTTCTAAAAATAAAATGTAATAAATGCAATGATGGTATTTTGTTGATAAAAAGAATGCTTGCTCGGGGTAAGAAGGGAAATCGGGGAGGATTCGTTAAAAAGCCATGAGTTGACTGATTTTTTTTTTAATTTAAATATATGTATGATCGTAATAAATTTGTGCTACAAATACACAACTATCTGGAAGACTTCTTCACAGCCCTTCACTTCCCACATTTAAGGCACCACTATTATTCAAGCTATGCTTAGATTCGGTTATGCAATTTACTTCATGGTGGGCATAGCAACGGCGGCCTGGGTATGGCTCACATCAGATTCACGCCACAATTGGGTAACGGTCTTGGTTTGTGTGTAGAACTTGACACCTTGCTTGCCATAGAAGTGATGGTCACCGCGGAAAGAGCCACGGGTACCGGTGAACGAGAACATGGGCAATGGCACGGGAATGGGTACATTGACACCGACTTGGCCGACATCGATTTCGTTGACAAATTTGCGGGCGGTGGCACCGTTGGTGGTGAAGATGGCGGTACCGTTACCGTAGGGGTTCTTGTTGACCATTTCGATGGCTTCATCAAGGGTATCGGCATTCAAGATGACCAAAACGGGGCCGAAGATTTCCTCCTTGTAGCAGTCCATATCGGGGGTGACATCAGTCAAGATGGTGGGTCCAACAAAGTAACCATCCTCGTAACCGGAAACCTTAAGGCTGCGGCCATCCAAAATCAATTTGGCGCCTTGCTTGACACCGGATTCAACCAATTCGTGGATACGTTGCTTGGATTGGGCACTGATGACGGGACCCAAATCGGCACCGGGAACATGACCAGCATTGACCTTCAATTTCTTGGCGCGCTCAACCAAATCGGGGATCCATTTTTGGGCTTCGCCAACGAAGACGGCGGTG